TCTGGGCGGCGACATTGCGCATCACTGTGGCGAGTTCAGACCATCACCATACACCCCCCTCCCCGAGATGATTTCCCCAAACCCTCTCGGCCGGACCCTCTCGGCTTGCCCGGGGAGACTCTTCCTCAACATTCATCCTTGGACGGACCCAGAGAGACCATTCTTTGACCCAACGACAGAGCCGGGATGGCACCTTGAAGCTGCGGAGGCAAAAGAAAGTATTGACAAGTTGATCGAGGCCGATGCTTATGATAATATCTTTCCTGTCATGGCTCATGATATGACGTTGGGTGAGACGGTGGAGTTGTATCCCAAGAAGGCTAATGACTGGATGGCGAGAGGTTGGAAGGAGGCCACGCGGTGGGGGTTCTGTGGAGAGTTTACGCCAATGGACGAGATGGATGATAAAGTCCAGCATGAGATTCACCAGTCGACAGAAGCTAGTTCTAAGATCATGTCGATTGTGCATGTTGAGTACAAGGAGGAGGAGAAGAAAGCAGAACTTCATAGTCTACCGCTGTAATGAAGCTGGATTACGTTCGAATATTAGCGCTTTGTCTAATGTGCAGGGGTGAATGCACTGCTATTATGCCAAGGATTGTGGGACATTGTGCAAGTTTAGACATGACGATCCACTGGTGTTGGAGATATTGGTCTTGACAAACGTGGTTCCTAGCAACTTTGTGTGAACAACTATTCGTACTCTGTTCATGTACCAAATCACCTGAATGCTATTCGTGTTTGTTCATGATATCAAGCCAGCAGAGTACCTACTTTAGTCCGACAGTATATGTTAGAAGGCATGCTATCTATTTACCTATGTTTCTCATCGCAACTTCATTGTACCGATCTCCCTGCGGTTTCAAAGCATCAACTAGCTTCCTCATATCCTTTACCTCCTCCTCCATAAGCTCTATGTCCCTGGACGCAAAGTTCTCAACCAACCGCTCTGGCTTCGTCGTGCCAGGTATCGAAATCATGCCCTGCGCAGCCACCCAGGCAAGGGCGACCTGAGGCAAGGTACACTTCTTGCGCTTGGCTAGCTCACGGAAACCATCGGCGATTCTCTTGTTAGCATAAAAGTTCTCGCCTTGCCACTTGGGAACTGTACCATGTGTCAGCAGGAATCGGCAGTTGGGAAGTTGTAGGACTGACTCTGGCGTCTGTAATCTTCGGGGGCGAAGTCTTCCGGCGTTTGGTAGGGGAAGTTCTCTACGAGCCATCCGTGGCCGAGGGGACCATAGGCTATAAACTCGATGTCAAGCTCACGGGCAGTGTCGATCAAACCGTCGGTCTCGTGAATCGTTTCGAAAGCGGAGTATTCTGCTTGGACGGCATCGATCCTGGCGACTTGTTGAGTTAGACTTGGTGTGCATGTAGATCAGATCGGATACCCACTTGAGTTTGCCTTTCGCAGTGTCTCAGCAGAGCATTCGGATAAGCCGATATACTTTGTTTTGCCTTGTTTGCGGAGGGAGTCAAGAGCAGGGATGGATTCTTCAAGTGGTGTATCTGGGGGGCTTCTGTCAGCGTATACTCAGCCAATTGACCTCGAGGAAGATTGCTGACTTGGATCCATGCGGTGGATATAGTATAGGTCGGGAGTGAAACCGAGTCTTTCGATGGTTCCCTCGATGTATGTCGCGATATGCTCAGCCGAGTTGGTTACGGATCCGTCTTCAAAAGCAGCAATGCCGCACTTTGACGCAACTACTAGCGGTTAATGAGAACACATCGATGCGAGAAAGTCGAGAACTTGCTGAAGAGTTCATCTCGACAGTTGTGCTTTCTGATAAAGTCGCCGAGAATCTTCTCATTCTTCCCCGGGCCATAAGAAACCTAGAGGCCTTCAATTAGCGGACGACTATCAAGGAACAAACGAGGCGTACAGCGGTGTCCCAGAATGTACAACCCTGCTCCAAAGCTTTCAGCAATACAGGCTCGGCCTCTTCGTAGCTGAGGTCGTTGCCGAGTGCGAAGCTGATGCCCATGGCACCAAAGCCCGGCGTGGGAACTTGCAAGTCTCGGAAGCGCATTGACCTGACCATGTTGAGGACTGTCTATCTGCAAGGGGCGTGGTGTGTATAGTGTGAAGCTGATTAACTAATGGGAGGGATTTGGGTCGTAATCGGCAGTACCATATGACGACGTGGGACTCTTCCTACAAAGCAATAAGGGTGCTGAAGTCCATAAGAAGAGGGGGGATGACCGGGGTTGCCATTCCGATTACGCGACGTAATGAGTGATACAGTGATTAATTCGGGGAGCACCCGGGTTTGGCGGAATGCGTTATCTGACGCTAAGACGACCGGACTTTTTCGTGTCAGCGACACACATCATGAGTAGGTAGATAGGATCTACCGAGTCTGGGCTACCATCATTGATAGCTAAGCAAGGTAACCCTAGTGTCGCCTATGGTGTTCTCTTCCAGGCAAGAGGATAGGTTCTGTGATACCATTCCCCCAGGCGATCGCTCCAAGTTCCTCAACGGCACTGATTGATAGAGCATCTATTTGCTTGAACAATGCATTCATCTTAGGGACCGTAATATTGTCTCAATATGAAAATATTCCTCATCTCACATCTCAACATGTTCCTAGCTTAGAAGTCTTGTAAAGCCACTTCGGTCACTCGAAAGATATCGACAAGAGTCGGCCTATAGTTCCATGGGGAGGCTAGTGATTTGGGTAACAAGTATCCTTGCGTCAACATGTCACATTGTGGCGCTAAACTCTCTATGTACCCTCGCCCAACAGTCTGTCTGGCAAGTCAATTATATTGAATCTTGAAATATCCTTCGCAACCTCAGCGCCGCCAATTCTATTACTGCTTGAGCCGTCGGCCCATCCCGCAGCGCCTTCACAAGACAGAAAGCGTGCATCTGCCCTTCAGCCTTGATTACAGACGCATCAACCCCAAGCCCCTGCAGCCGGTGACCAAATGCGACGCCCTCATCAACTAGGGGGTCAACAGTCGACAGAAAGATAATGGTTGGAGGAAATTTGGACAGGACATCGTCTGGGAGGTGTGTTAGAGGAGAGGCCAGTGCTGTTTCTCTGTCGCTCTTGCTTGGTATGAAGGTCTCAATCATCCAATCCATCGTGGCTTCTGGCAAGAAAGGACCGTCTTTGAACGTAGTGTATGATGGATACTTCTTATGTGTGAGGGTAACAGGGGCCCAGAGAACCATCTGACCGATTGTAGCGGGCAGTTGTCTTTGCAACGACATTTGCATCATGGCAATAGCCATATGTCCTACAGATGATTAGCACTTAATCGAAGGGGGCTTATACACAACGTACCTCCAACACTATCACCAGCTAGAGCAATGGTTTTGACCAAAAGGTTGTACTCCTTTCCATGACGAATCATGTACTCGAGAACTTCATAACTTTGCTCAAACGGGAACGGAAACGTTCTATGCGGTGCAAGCGTGTAGTCCGGAAAGACCACCGCAGCTCCAGTTCGCCGAGCCAAGTCCTCGACCAACACGGCAAACGATTTGGCACTTTCGCATATCAGCTTGATGCATAGAAGCAAGGAGTCATGCTTACCTGCCCATGACCCAGCCGCCACCATGAGTGTAAAAGATCATTGGAAGTGGCTTGTGAACCAGAGCCTTTGGTCTAAACAGTGTCACAGATGTCGGGCCATATTTCCCTTCGACTTCAATAGACTGTGTGGCAATGTCACTCGCTGGTTCATGGCGCTGTAGCTCTTCCAGATTCTCGAATGCCTTGTCTGGACCCCCGAGCTGATGGGGAGCAGGCAGGCCATCGATTGCGGCCGCAAACTTTGCGTTGATGGGATCGAGATTAACCATGGCTACTGAATGACCAATGAAAGACGCTATGAGGGACGTATCTTGCTCAGCGATGCACATTGACACTACAAAACACCAAAGAGGCTTGACACTATAAGTTCTTTCGTCTCTTTCGGCTGATCGCGGTAGCGATGGATTCCAAGGGTTTGGGTCTCGAGGTTCGATCTAATTGCCGGAGGTTCCCCATTTCCCCGGTATCTCTACACTTCCATGCCCAGGCGTGGAGCCTTCCCCGCATCCGCGACATACGCTAAAGAAAATAGCCCCTTACTTATCTTGATAAGGTTCGGCTTCTCGTCTGGGAAGTGTAGGCAGTGCAAGCTAGGCCGTTACTTGGCGGCATGGTCCCTACATTGGCGATATAGAGAAGTGAGTACTGTCCTTTGGATACCAGTGTCATGTGTTCGTTGAGGCTGTCAGCGGTGGTGCTACCTTATGATTTCCTACATAGTCGGTGAGGAGTGAAAGATATATCCTTTTACATGTTTTTACAATGCGTACTAGGAAGAAAAAGCACGCTGGAATTGCAAATACATACAAGTGTCTAGTATGGTAGCCTGTACATAAACATGCCAACGAGTTGACGCCGGAAGCCTCTCCTATCTCCTAAAAGGACCAAAACTCTGGCGTCTTAATTCACTTCCAATCTGTGGAGTTTGTGATTATGTCTATGATGTCTCGGCGACGCCCCGTCTAGGAGAGCTTCTGGGGTCATCTAATCGAGCCCCACGGACCAGATACCGGGTTCATTTTCGGATATCCCGAGATATCAGAGATGGAGCCGGTGGCGGGTCTCTTAGATGGTAACGCACTGTTACAAGTCGTGTTTATGGTGATATCAAATGAAATCAAGTCAATAGCTTATCTTGGGCACAAGATATCTCAGCCGTGGATGCGTTGCTGGGAGATGAGATACCGGGGAGATGTGCTTTCCCTCGCTGACATAGTGTAGGCTACTTACATGCGTACCCCCGAACCGAGTCGGTGGTTCATCCGCTCAGTCGAGACTCGTTAGCCTGGAACTATCTATCAGCACCAGCTACAGAGCTGAGATGACCCCCGCTTTACCCCAGGATCGCAACAGTCCACGCACTGAAACCTTGGCCTAGCAAGGTATAAATACCAGTATTCACTTTCTTCATCTCATCATCTCCAAGTTGCTCTCCATCTTCCAACAATGGCATCTCCAACCGTCTCTTCCATGGACCAGTACACATCTCCCTCCAAAAACGAGAAGATCTCACCGCATGATGGTGAGGCCGGCGTCTCTGATACCGAGAAGGGAGAGTCTCGGGAGGTCTTTCAGGAGAATGTCGACGGCGTTGAGTTCAGAACTGTCAGTTGGCAGCGAGCCACTGTGGTCTTTCTCAAGATCAACTTTGCGATGAGTATCCTTGCTATCCCTGGCGCTCTTGGTGCGCTGGGCTCGGTTGGAGGATCTCTGTGCATCGTTGGCTATACTTCGCTCAACGTTTGTAAGTATATGTCTCAATACCCTTGAGCTTGAGGCTAATGGATTTTCCGTTTAGATACTGCTCTTGTTCTTGGTGACTTCAAGCACAACCATACCGAATGCCACAGTAAGCAGCCAAGTCCCGGTCGAGATTGATCAGTCGCTTACATCTCCTAGCATTGGCTGATATGATGGGCCTCATCTGGGGTCGCTGGGGTCGTGAACTTGTTGGTGTCCAGATCATCGTCGCCCAGGTTCTCATCTCTGCCGGCGGCATAGTCACGTCAGCTATCGGCCTCAATGCACTGTCAGATCACGGGACATGCACCGTCGTATTCGCCCTCGTCTCCGCCATCCTCATCACACTCTTCTCTTCGATACGCACATTTGCTCGTCTGGGCTGGCTGACCTGGTTCGGCTTCATCACATTCGTTCTTGGGGTGTTCATCTTTGTCGTCGCTGTGACGCAGGTCGACAGACCAGCTGCCGCTCCCAAGACCGGCGACTTTGATCTCGGTTGGGCGCCGATCGCGTATCCTAGCTTTGTTGTTGGTATGATCAATGCTACCAATATTTTCATCAGCACCTGCGGCTCTTCCATGTTCTTGCCCGTTATATCTGAGATGAAGAGACCGCATGACTATCGCAAGGCTTGCCTTGTGGCTGGCTTCATCGTTGGGGCCATGTATCTTTCTTTCAGTCTCGTCATTTACAGATGGTGCGGAACTTGGATCTCAACGCCAGCTTTTGGCAGCGCCGGTCCCCTTATCAAGAAGGTCGCATACGGAGTCTCTTTACCTGGACTTATTCTTGGCGTTGGTATCTATCAACATGTCGCTGCCAAATATGCCTTTGTCCGCATATTGCGTGATTCTGAGCACCTGCAGGCCAATACCTTCACTCACTGGGGCACTTGGCTCGGTATCAATCTGGCCCTGGGAACTGCAGCCTTCATCGTGGCTGAGGCGGTGCCCATCTTGAACTATCTTCTCGGCTTGGCCGGTTCTCTTTGCTTTGCGCCATTCAGCCTGGTGTTTCCTGCGCTACTGTGGATGTATGACTTCAAGAGCTACAAGACTGGCACGTTGGGTCAGAAGATCAAGTACGCCTTGCATATACTCATCATGATTCTTGGCTTTTATATGATCGTCGCTGGCACGTAAGTACTCACGTATCTTGTATCTTTATGTGATATACTGACCGGCAACTCCAGCTACTCCGTTGGCGTTTTGATCAAGGAGGCATTTGACACTGGGGCGATTGCCAAGGTCTTTGACTGTGCGGACAATTCGGGTTTCGTCCAGTAAGATTGCATGAAAGCACGGATCACAGATTGAATTACACTCGGACATTAGTCGTGTTCTTCTTTGTGGTTTTATGAAGACAGATAGACGACGGATAAAAGATTGACATAAGGGTTGACCCTTGTATTTTGTTACATGTAACGCGTGACATAGACACAGTCGCGGTTTGCTAATGTAATCCATCAACTTCGTATCTCTCCTACCTTGTCTATAGCCCATAGACTGGCTTTCTCGTATTCGCCCATGTCTTGGTCGTCAAACTCAAGCTTGATGTGGTGTACTCTCACAGAGTGCCGCTGTCTAAAGTCTTATGTTTTAACACAATGGACGTATCTGTTCAGCTACGTTATCAAATTACACCTGGAGGCATGAGGCACAGTATCAAGATCAGTAAAGAATCTACTTTCAGATTGGAAAATACGGCGGTTCAACAGAATGTGCATAATGGCCTAATCGATCTCTATCTTGAGCCTCCCGATACCACGATCGACACAAGCCTGTAACGCCCGCCCCTTCTCCTTATCAAGCAGCGACGTACTCTTGTAATCAACCTTTCCCTCGCGCAACGCCACCTTACAAGCACCACAAGCACCAGACTTACAAGAGTACAATATGTCGAAGCCCGCGTCGTTGAGAACGTCTAGCAGCGTCTTGTTTGGAGGAACCGTCACCGTCTCATGTCTGTTGGAGTCCGGCTCATCAACTTCAACCTCGAAGGGCTCTCCGAGATCACCACCTCCACCGTTACCAAAATCCTCAAAATGAAGCAAGTGGTCTGGATATCCAAGTTCCCTAGCAATTTTCTCGCATTCCTTCATCATGCTTGAGGGTCCGCATGAGAATACGCGTGCGTTGTATGCCCCATCTTGGCTGGGCTTTGGTATGACGCTTCTGATATCGAGTCGTGGACCCTCTGATCGGCAGTACAGAGTGGTCTTGCTTTTGGGCAGTTGATCAAGAAAGGCGGCCTCTTCAAGACTTCTGATGGCATAATGAAGATAGTATGGCAGGCTTTTACTCTCCCAATCGCGCATCGATGGCAAAAAGGCCGTTATTCCGATCCCTCCGACGATCAGAATCCGCGTGAGACTTTCGTCGCATTTTTCATCATTTTCTATCGCACCAGGGTTTGATCCAGGAGACATTTCAATCTCGTCACCAATCTTCAACTCGTTGTGTAGATAAGCCGAACCTCCTCGTGATTGTCGATCAAGCGATACGCCCAGGCTGAACTTGTATATATCACCGTCGACAATCGAATAAGAGCGCTCGAATTTTACTTCGCCTCCGAATTTGATCTGTGCAAAGGCATAAGCGTCGAACGCTGCATTGACAAGAGTCAAAGGCTCTTTCAAGGCAAACGTGAGCTTCATGACACGCTGAGCGACGAGGCGAGCGTCGACTAGAGTGTATGTTTTTGGAGCACTCCTTAACCTCTCTTTTGCAATGTCCAGAAAGAGATCTGTCATAGGAAGCTGTGTGCATTCCGCCAGCAGATTGAGAGAGACATTTCTTGCTCTAATGACACGCTGAACGTTCAACACAGACCACTTGGGAAACGGTCTCTCTAGCAAAGAGATCGTATCTCCTTTGCAGATATCGCCTGTCTTCAAGACTCGCATGTTCCAGCCCGCCCGTCCTGTTCGAATCGTCCGTTTTAGAGCTCGCGGCCATTTGAATCGGGAGTTGAGTTTGAAGCATGGATGTCGTGGTTCGCTTACTTCGAGAAGGACATTTTCACCGAGTTTGTATATGTCGCCGATACACACATTGTCGTCATTCATGTTGGTCGTGACAAGATTCTCGCCATATGCTCCGACATCGTATAGATCTGGCTCTGGCGGGTTCTCGGCTCGCCAGTCTGGGTAATGATCTGGGTTGTACTGATGTACTGCGCGCTCTGTGCCACCATGTCTGCTGGAAGCGTGTTCGTCGCCCAGAACACCAGTCGCGCTGCAAAATATTGGTCCGTCATGTCGCTGTTTGTAGATAGCAGAAGTGATTTCGCCTCCTAGGGCACCTTGCTTGACTCTTCCCGCTCTGACTTGCAAAAGAATTCCCGACTTGGGAATAGGGGCAGCATCGAGAAGTGATACAGTCTCCTTGGGAATATTCGTCGTCGATGGAACTCCCATTTTCCAGGAAATTATATAAAAGAATTACGAGCCGCACTGCTCAGTCGGTCCATTTCTTGCAGTATAAACCCTAAGTTACTTCGCATAAGCGTGAGCTGACATGTGTAGATACTCCACTTTTCATAACCCGACAGTTACGCGGAGGTTCCGATGAGGCCGGGTAGCAACCGGAGACTTCCGCGACCTTAATGGCAAGGATCAGCTTGTTGAACCACCACTTCCCAGCTACAGGGTACCTCATGTTGATGACAGCTATGAGCCACATAAGTCACAAAAAGGCACTCTAATCAATGTGATGAAATGCAGATACTATTGCATATAAAATGGATGAAGACTGGTAATAGCCATTATAATAGCAGTATAAGTCGAATATGCAAGTCGGAAAATGCATGTGTTAGAGACAAAGATGGCAAACTAATTTCCATGATGGTAAGAGCAATTAACACTGCCATGCTGAGAACGTCACGCATCAAGTGACACGACTCGCAGAAAGATTTCCTATTGGCTACTGAAGTTTTATATACTGAGATGTGAATATGAAGCAATTTAATATGATACACTTTCGCGACCTCCGTATTTGATCCATTCTTGAACTTAGTTTTGAGGGGAATCATAGCATGACAGGAAGACAAGCTTTAGATTTTGACAAAATTCTACTCAGAAAGGGCCATATTCGCCTGTTCTCAATTGCAACGACCGAACATAAAATAAAATGTACTGCCAAGTTGGCATACCTGTTAATCAATACGTGTTGTTAGAACATACAGCTCTATAACAACCCACTTGGTATTTATCCCGAGGTAATGGGCCCAAATCCTACCATACTGGTAGAGCTATAAAAGGCTTGTTCAAAACATGATCCATAAGAACCTACAGCCAGAAGCACGGCAGTTAGAAGTGTCAGTTCATTCCTGTTGAGTCGGTGGAGTTGACGAAAGGCAATATCGTGGAGACAAGGCTCGAGCGACGCCGCTACCAGGGATGGAGTGGATCGATTCATCTTCTGGCTTCAGAATACCCTCATTACCTTCGTAAGATCATATTCTAGTCGGAAAATGTATCGGAGAGGCGGTGACGGAGTGATGGGTACACGCCAGACATAAAAGGCGGCTCTGATCCTTCTCAAACCCAATCCAGACTTTCATCAGGCACAATTCACCATCTATCTCCCTTTCTCAAAAGTAATAACAATGCAGTTTTCTCTCAAGGCACTCAGCCTTTTCCTTTTTCTTGCCCAAGCGGCACATAGGTACATACACTCTCGCCAACCTCATATCTCAACACCCGTACTAATACAACAGATAAGTTCAAAGGACCATAGCAGTCACAACTGCTGCTTGCACACTCCTGAGGGGTGGATTCCGGTAAATGATTGGACAAAGGCTGTCTGCGCCATGCGCTGGGGATCTGTTGTAAGTGACCCCCCTTAGAGTCTTGGAGTAAACATTTGACCAGAGTACCAGGCGATATTTGATGGTGTTAAATGCATCCAGAAGCCAGGCAACGTCATCAGCGGTGATGACTTTTATACCGCTTGCAAGCTGTATGGGTACAATGCTGGTTATAGAGATGACTGGGAGAAGGGCGCGGGATATCGCGGTACTTGCTCGTAGGGTTGTCCACTAACCCAGGAGCGGAATCTGATATAAAAGTACGCAAGAGATGGAACTGAGATTGACACACTTACAATCTACGGTTGACTGCTTGTTCGGATCAGTGTCTCATCAGACAAGGACATAAGAGTAATCTAAACAGTGTTGCAAGGAAATTGAATTTGAAGTTGGAATATGGAGTAGCAGCTGATCAGCGGATTATACGTAGTGATATAATTTGCCTGACTAGGGTTCACTTGACGAAGTTTCGGCATACGACCTACTTATGTCGGGATTATAGTTGCATGAAATAAAAGTGAGAGTAATCTAAACATATCTTTCTGCAAAGGACCGCTTCAATGCGAGCTTGTGAACAGCCACCCAGTTGATGTTGAGCTACTGCTGCGCCACGCCAGTAAGCAAAGCAGAAAGCCTCCGAAAAGTCTCCGCAGCTGATATATCAGCCTCGTCGCAAACCGATAAACGAAAAAGATAACAATCCACAACATCATAATTTCTGTAACAACGACTGAAAATGAGGCGAAATATTCTCATTGTCGGAGCTACTGGCCAACAAGGCAAAGCCACCATCGACGCCCTATACAAGGCCCTTGACAGCTCGCCTGGACATGAAGACACCAGAATCCTTGCGTTGACTAGGTCTACTGAATCATCAAAGGCTCAATCTCTCCAAGCAGAGTATCCAGGAATTACCCTTGTGAAGGGAGGTACCCAGACGCCGCAGCCCATCTTCGACCAACATCCAACCATATCATCAATCTTCGTAGTTACGGTTCCGCCGAATGATGAGACACAAGCGCTCCCTCTCATCGAAGCGGCAACATCGCATCCATCAGTTGATCACATCATCTTCTCTAGTGTTGACCGTGGTGGCGACGAGGTTAGCTGGTCGCAACCAACCGAGATTCCTCACTTTGCCGCCAAGCACCGCATTGAGCTACGACTGCGGGAATTATGTAAAGAGAACAACAAACGATGGACTATTTTGAGACCGACAGGCTTCATGGATAGCTATAACCCTGGTTTCTTCGGTCAGATGATGGCATCCCTTTGGGCAGAGGGGATGCCAAGAGATCGCATGATGCAGTTGATTAGCACCCATGACATAGGCGTGTTTGCAGCAAAAGCACTTTTGAATCCAGATGTTTGGGCGGGAAAGGCACTAGCACTGGCAGGTGATGAGTTGAGCTTCTCGGAGATTCAGGAGATCTTTCGTGAGGTGGTGGGGGAGGAGTTACCCCAGACATACAAGATCGTAGCGTATCCCATATTATGGATGGTCCAAGATGCGTCGAAGAGCTTTGCGTGGTTTAGGGATGCGGGTTGGAAGGCGGATATAGACAGCTTGAGGGCACAGGAACCTGGTCTCCAGAACTTTGCTTGCTGGCTCAGGGAGTCGAGTAAATGGAAATGTGTTTAACTGAAGACTTCGTTGCAATGCTTATAAGCCCTTGGTCATGAATGATTAAACAAAGAATATCTACATCTAATATAAATTATCTTGAACACTTCTCCCAAATCTCCCAAACGGCTTCATTGCCAACTTGCCAGGGAATTCCCTCCTCTTTTTATCTTCTAATTAGAAGTCCTCACGCCTTGCAGGGGCTTTTACCTTTGGCACCCCACGCACCTCCATTATTATCGAGCGCCCAGAATACAGCACCACCCAAACACAATCCATCAGCCCATGCCATCTTCAGTGCCAACGTGTCAGCATCGTCATAGCCTATCCACTGATCACCTCCCCAAGTCGCATACTTCTGCATAGCCTCGCTGTCGAGCTCGACGGTGGCTTGGTTGGCTGCTATAGCCTTCTTGATATCACTCAGCACCATGACACCCGTCGGATCTTTGACACAAGAACCCTCTTCGCTGGGCCCCGATGCAGCACAACCTGCTTCTTTGCAACTGGAGGAGGAAAGGGTGTACCCGCGGCCGTACAGGGGGATGCCGAGGTTGATGAGAGACGGATCGGTCTGGTTGGCCCAAAGCGGCATTAGATCGTTGGCAATGTCAACTACGCTGGCCTGGTATGTGACAACACTCTTGGTTGGCTCTTGATCAATTCCCCAACCATGTAAATCGTAGGCCATAAAGTTGAAGAAGTCGACGTATTTGCCCATACCGGCAGCGTTGAAGCCCTGGATGCTACCCCAGTCCGCTGGTACCGCCGCTGAGATGCCATAGTCCGTTCCAAAGGCAGCTCGGAGTTCCTGGACAAGAGAGACCAGGTTTGCTGCATCGGTGGTCGCTGGAAATTCCCAATCAAGGTCAACGCCCTGGAAGGAATAAGCCTCCATAAAGGACTTGAGAGACGAGATGAAGGCAGATCGGGAGCTCGCTGAGGCCGCCATGGAAGACCAAGTCTCAGTTGAGAAACTGCCGCCACCAATGGCAATCCACGTCTGCAACGAACTACTCTGTAAAGCGGTGAACTGTTTATAGTAGTCGACATCTTGAGAGTTCTGAGCGCCAACTGCGAAACTGCTGGAGTCGAAATCGGCAAATGCCAAGATCAGATGGGTCAACCCATTGGTCTGAATCTGGGAGGGAAGGACAACATCGCAAGATCGGTCCCAAGCCTGCTGTACGCGCCAGTATCCAACGCGACGGCCATTAGTCGCACTCTTACCGCCAGAAGAGCAAGATGGAACTGTAGGTACAGAACAGCTCCCGTACGTTGATTGACAACCATCACCACAGTATACACTTGACGTTCCGCAGTATCCGGCCGAGGAACAGCAGACGTTCAAAGGGCAGCGTGCTCCATCGTTGTCAGGGCCGCACTGGGCGAGGACAAGATTGGGTAGAAGACCAAGAACTAGAGCCAGACGGCCAACGACTTGAGGGATGGAAAGTACCATGGTGAGAGATACTTGGACCAGGGACAGAAGATCAGAGTGCTAGGCTCGAAGCTTCTTGAGCCTATTATATGTCCCATTCTGCATACCACCTCGGAGACATTTAACCGTCTCAACACTAAGCCCTGTTAATAAATGACTATCTCCACATCTAAAATAACGCTGACGCCAAGATGTCCAACTATTTTCATGTGCCGCAGGACCAAAAAAGCCGGTCTAGGGAGGCAAGAAAACTCAGTACCTTGACCCTAAGTGATGGAAATACTTAGGCAAGTCTGGTCTAAGTTTAGGGCAGTCTTGCTGAGTTTATTTTAGCATCCCCGTCTCAAGTGACAAGCCCTCGGCCAGTAAGGCGATCGCTACCGTTAAAGAACCAACCGTGCCGCGCTTAAAGCGGTCAAAGCCGCGCTTGGGGTCCAAAGCTTCCACTACACCAACAGCTTTAATTGGTTATCAAACGAGCTTGAGCAGCGATCCCTACTCCACAGTAAGCCTGCGCCAAACCTTCAGGGCCTATCCCAGACAACGGCTTTCGACGCAATTGGTCTCCCGTAGGTCTCTCCTGAATTCTCAAACGGAGCGTTGGCAAAGAAGAGCAAGGCGTCTTTTGCACCCTGGATGATAAACCATGCATGACCTTGTTGCTGACATGAGTCTTCCCTGTTGGAAAAGATACCCATACTTCGCTTAGCTGGCAAGGCGAGGCATGTCAAGAGCACAACTATCAGCGCCACAGCATCATTTGGACTGCCAGTTGGCTATCAGATAAGTTGACTAACTTGAAGCCAGAATTTTCATTAGCAGAAGAAAGCACTTGAATGAACGCCATGCCGGGCCGACCCGCCCACGTTCTCTTCTCTTGGGGGCTGAGTCTATTGTTAGGTACTTTTGTCTAGCCCTATGGGGCAAATAAAGCTTTGGGTTGTGTGGGTGGACCGTGAACTCGGTGGAGTAGGGAGATTATCAAATTAACCTCGGGGCTTTTGCAAGGGTCGTTTCCAACAGTGAGCCCACATAAAAGCATTGTGCCCTGCTAGGACGGCCGAGGGGGAATTCCTTCTGCGTTGTTTGCCTTTGCCCAAGCCAAACCAGCGACATGGAGCTCTCTCTGGTGTACTTTCTCTGTATACTTTCTCTAGCCTCAGCCTCGTTCCCCTTCAACTTTGGACTGTAAGCTAAACGGACCTCTTGTTTAAATCCTCCCTGACTAACTGGTCCCAGCTCATCCTCTCCCGTTCTACTACCACGCGCGAAAAATCCCACTAGCAAAGACGGCAACTGTGGTTCCAACTCGGAGACTAACGCGACATGCCTCACATCCACTTTCGGTAACTGCTGCTCCGAGAAAGGGTTCTGCGGCAAAACGAGCGCCTATTGTAATGAGGGTTGCCAAAGTGCCTTTGGTAGCTGCTCGTCTAGTGAGGATGGACAGCTTGTGAGCACGTCGGGCTCATGTGGTGCGACGTCGACCAGCAACATCACTTGTGAAGGCAGCTCGTATGGAGACTGCTGTTCTGAGAAGGGCTACTGTGGCAAGAATGCGACCTATTGTGGTGCTGGGTAAGTTCAATCCACTGTTTGCTCCGAGAGTGTTCCAACAAGAGCGGCATTGCTTTGGGCTTCTATCTTGGCGAACATGTCGTCAATCCAGACGGCATCGCCAGCTCCAGGCACTCCAACACGCTTTTAGACGTCGCTGACATCGATATCAACAGGTGCCAGAGTATGTTCGGCAGTTGTTCATCCAGTGACGAGTCCTCCACGACAACCGCGACGTCTGACAAGACTTCAACCTCGACATCGGCGGCGTCAACGAGTCTTGGTGCTATATCCATCGACGGAAACTGCGGCTCCAATTCGGATACCAATGCCACCTGCCAAGATAGCACATTTGGCGATTGCTGTTCGGCAAAAGGATACTGTGGCAAGACCTCTGGTAAGTGACCCCACGAAATGGACGTCTGTCTCTTGCACAGTTCAACAAAGCTAACTTCTCTATCTAGATTATTGCGCCTCTGGTTGCCAGAGCGACTTCGGTTCCTGCGATTCGTCATCCTCATCTGCGTCTGAGTCTGCTTCCTCGTCGACATCCTCCTCCGAATCCTCCTCGTCAACCCCGTCCACAACCCCGTCGACAGCCGGCCTCAGCACCGGTGCCAAGGCCGGAATCGCGGTCGGATCTGTCATTGGCGGGCTCGGAGCAATAGGGCTTGTGGCTTTTCTTGTGCTACGAAGCAAAAACAGAAAGTCTTCCCAGCAACTTACAGATAGCGATGCGGGAAAACCTAACGACGAGACGAGATATGAGTTACATGACGAGAGAACGCATGAGGTGCATGCGCAGAATCTGGTTGAGTTACCTGCTGATTACGGAAGGGTTGATGACCGGGCTGCGGCAGGGTATGATGGAGCATACAGAGGACATTAAGTGCGGGTTATGGGCTGTGAGCTTGCTCTATAAAGTTTGACCGCTTATGATGTGGGTGTGATATTGGTGATTTATGACCTAATTGACTAGTACTCCTTTTTTAATAGATGACATTAATCATTACATTTTCCCCAGCGATAGTGTAAGGCTATCTAATTCTACATGTCTGACATCCCTCTATCCTTAACATATAGAGTTATTCTATAGTAAAATTTAAGAACGAGAACTAGTCTGTTGGCTGACGATTATTTGCCCCAGCTAAGCTCAGAAAATGCAAATGGAGTTTATTATACTTGAGTTTCATCTCCGAGTTATCTAGTGTTACACCAGCTTCCGGGCCATTAGTTCACATGTGGCGCTAGTTAAGGGGGCTGCTGAGATTAATGCTGCAACAATTCTTAGAGACTGAGAAATGCAGTTTATGATGAGCAAAAAGCTGCAGCACATAACCACAGCAAGGATGGACGAGCCGTTCAAGGTACAGATCATGTTGAACAGAGCTTCTTTGTAGATCGGAATAGTGGCGGTGACCGTAGGGCTCTCATAATGTGGATTGGACGCTCTTCTTTCAGTTACAGACAGATATATAGTAACGGAATATTTATTTCGTAAGGAGAGGAGCTTTAAATGGACCTCGTGTAATCACCCATCCTTACAATCCATGCTCAAAGAGGCTTCCGTCCCCAAACAACCTTCTGTCTGAAATACGAATGGATCTTAGGTGATCGAATCTCGCGTCTAAAGTGAGAGATGAAGACAGTGATTTCTTCCTCAGTCCATCCCAGCGCAGTAGCCATATGAAGAACTGTTCCCTGAGCGTCTTGTTCGAAGGCAGCCTGCATAAATTGCCCTACACTTCGGTATTTCGGATCTTTTGGCCATCCTCCCACAGGATTCTGTCACAACGTTAATTACCACTAACTCTATCATGAGGGAACGACTTACCTTGAAGTCACGCTCCTCTATGTCCATAAATCCTGCTTCTCTCATTGCTTCCCTCTGGATGTTCTCCTCGAAAATCGTAAAAGGTCGTCCTATCTTGCGTCCGCCTTCCACGAAGAACCTCTCCCATTGGCTTAACGCACTGCCTGGCCGAACTGTACCGTCGTCGCTTTCGACGCGTGATGATGGCTCGTAGCTCTCGATATAACCCCCTGGTTTGAGGCACTTATAAGCTTCCTTGAACAGAGACTTCCAATCTGCGATGCTGCCGACGAGCCATCGCATATGGATGTAGTCGAAGGTGTTAGGCTGGAAGGTCCATTCTTGGGTACAGTCTTCAATTTGGCTGTTGAGAGGTCAAAACGAGATGGATGCAGACGTATTTTGCTAACTGGGAGTACCTACAATTCCAGATTGGGTGGGATCCAACCAGGCTGAATTGGTGCAAGATCCGTCCCGATTACGGAAGCATTCGGAAACTTATCTGCGAACTCCCTTCGTTTCATGTCAACCTCAGGTTCTCTTCAGTGTTTTGAACATTAGCGTGAGCTTACATGGCCCAGATCCCTATCAGATTATTAATCACACTGCCCACTACTCATATAGAATACTCACCAGTTCCCGTTCCAATGTCTACAGCAGTCTAAAGTCCCATGTGAATTAACATAACCCATCTAGTAACAGGTCGCCCTACCTGAATGCCGTCTGGGACTGGTGCTAGATAAAGCTTATCGCCCAGTAAGAGAGTGAGTACATGGTGGCTAGAAATCATGATCAGCTACTGTCAAGAGATCCTAGGCAAACCTACTTGATGTCCATTGCCTCTTGGCCGGTGTCATCGATGGGTCCCCTTCTCACAGTCAGTCGTGATAACCACACTTTACTGCCATGACGCACCAGTACTCGGGATTCCCCCGTTCACTCTGATATGCCCTCCCATTGATAGTTCGATACTGAAGAATACTGGATGTCAAAGAAGCTGTTGAGCTCGCATTGTCAAGAACAGCTGAGTCTTCATCGCCTGGCGCGTTTTCTTCCTTTTGCACCGCATGAGCTAGCGGCAGAAGATGAACCGTATTGTGAAACTCACCTCTGGTAGTTGTGACCAATGCTCTGGTGGGAGAAGACCGCTCTCCGCGGCCACGGGCGCTGGTAATGAAAGAGCCGAACCTGTATCGGCACGCTTCTTGCGAGCGGGCGACGACATTTTGGCTGTGTAGTGGTGAGGAGTGAAAAGACAACAGTGGACTGGTGGTCTAGAAATGATCATGATCTTTGAACTCGGATTGCGGAGTCAAACGTCCGATAATCCATGTTTGTTGATGTATCGAAATGTGTTCAACCAACAACAGTGGAGTGCTGGCCAATTGTTTGGCTTTGATCCTTGCGACACCTATGCATATGCCGGGAAAATGGCCCGATATAATGTAATGTTATATACGGTTGAGTGATTTTTCTTTCGTGCATCTAACATGTGACGATTGATATTTGCTACGGACATCAAATGTTGACTGCTGTGCGACTCGGATTGGTTACAATAAGATACATTCAGTAATCATATAGCTTACTAGCATTCACTTACAACATCAATTTCGGTTTCTAGTTTTATCTTTGTTCCTGTATCCTGATTTCCATGAAGGTAACGCCAATGAGGAAAGTGTATGAAGAGACAGGGAGCCGCCTGTAACAGAAGTTACGGTGTCGCGTGAAGCCGTAAGAATAATTGTTGCACGGGTTGATATAATTTCTACCTAGACTTGAATTCTGTTATCTCAACGGGGCATTATTATTTCACATCAACTAATGCCTTAATAAAGAGCAAGTAAATGAATCCGCTACCCGCGTCGAAACGGGAGTAGACGAGTTTATAGTTTGACGAGGAGGCTGAAGGTGGCCTTGAGAAACCTCGGTCTAATTAGTCTATTTTATATGATATTTCCAAGATATATCACTACTCCTTTAGAGACTAAAAGACGAGAAAGGTGGAAGAGGTGAAAGCCTTCCGGGCATGACTCACAAGAAACCTGACATAACATGAGGAGGAAGGTGTAAGATACGGCGTATATATCTCCGGAATATTAATCATCAAGAACAAAACCGTTAAGTAAATACTCTCGGGCTAGTTAGATCATTAGATGAGGAACCTTAAAGTTAGTGGTCACATACAAACAGGATGGATTTGTATGGCATCCTCGGCAGTGCCTCGGCAAGGTTCTGGGATGCCCGAACTCCCATCGATGCTCCCGACATAGAATAGGGGACGCATCACACAAAATCATGAACACGTCATCGGTCTCATTTCTCAAGTCCCCCTTTTCACTCGCAAAACTGCGATGATTGTGTTGATGGGTACATGGCTGTGTGAAGGATTGAGAGACGACGCATATCGTTTCAAGCTGGAAATCCAAGACACGTAAGCAGATGTAGAACGAGCTAGCTCATGAGATCCCTTGATCGGTTGGAATATATATTGGACACACAACCGCATCTAAGCAAACGATTTATGTAAGTGGCTGCTTAATAGAAACCTTGGAAAATCCTCCACCTTGCTTGACAAAACGCTCAATCTCTTCCAAGGCGTGCTCAGCCGTACCTTCAACTACACGGACCGGCGGCAAGCGGAATTCCTTCCCATAATGTTCAGCAGCCCACTTCAAGCCCTCCCAAGCTCTAGCATGGTCGGCAGGTCGCGAAGGAATGGAAATCGGATGAGGAACGCCAGGGGGCTGAATCACAAAGTCGTGTAGTGATGAAGCAACGGGGAACTTGAAGCGCTTGTTGTCCCGTATGACCACCGAAGCAATGATAGTATCATCTGCTACAGCTTTGAGCACCTGGTCGGCCGAACTGGGGGCCCCCGCGGCATCAATTGCGTATGAGAACTTCTCAAATCCCGAGTCACGCAGAGCCTTGGCAATGGACTCGTGGACTTTCTCATCCCGGTAGTCGAACAGATGCTCGACGCCGAGAGAGCGTAGATGCTCGAATTGTGCCGGCTTTGCAGTAACAAAAATAGGAGACGCGCCACTTGCGATGGCGAACTGAAGGGCACAGTATCCGACAGAACCTGTTGCCCCCCAGAGCAGAAATGGACCACTGTGGGCCGGCCGTTTGTTCTCTGTTGGGAGAGGGAATTTGAAATGGTTGAATATCGCATCAGCGGCTGTCATGGCAACAACAGTCAAACTGGCTGCGTCGGGTGGTGGCAGATTATCAGGGACTTTGTACAGCAGATCTTCCGGGCATGTGATGTAGGCTTGATGAGCTCCGTAGTGAACAGGTGAATGCAGGCCCGCGGGTGTGATTCCCGCTACAATATCTCCGGGCTTGTAAGCAGAATTGGGATTTGTTGTTTCCAGGACTTGACCGCTAAAGTCATGGCCCATGACGGTATTGTTCATTCCTAGGTGGGTCGCATGCTTGATATCGGCGGGATTAACGCCCGAGTAGAGAACTTTGATAAGCAATTCGCCGCTGCTTGGCTTTGGGAGGCCTTGTCTTTCGATGACCTTGGGATTGTTCTCTAAATCGATGAAGAGTGCTTTGGTGGTATTCGTGACAGTCATTGTTACAATGCGATGGGTGAGTATTTTAGCTTAGGTAAAGTACTGGGCTGAGAAGTAATTAGATGTCTATAGAACGAGTTTATGTATGCGAGTTGGCCGTTTATAAAGAAATACTGAGACACCAGACCTCGGCATTTACAGATCCCAAACTGCCGATTATATAATCGGATCAGCAGAGGCAGTTCGCAAAAAAGACCCGCTTACGACTTATAGGACTAGGGGGACACGGCGCGGAGCGGTGTTCGCGTGGTTAGAGTTTTGGCTTCCTCCACATCCCGATGAGAAAACGTCCCCCTGGGCGCAGTTCACGGCCAAAGTTCGCTCCATCGTGTGCGTCTCAACTAACTCGATCATAAACGGACATGAATAACCTGGTGCATGATTCCATACAACGAAACAGTGGAACGTAGGTTTTATTCCCTGTGCGGCGCGTCGTCTACGCCCTTATTGCTTGTACGTGATACGGTAACTTTCTATCAGCGACCCACTCATCATCATCGACACCTATGGTCTTGGAAGCACGCCCTGATGGACCATTGTGATACTTTGTCCTCATGACGATAGATGAAATAGACAATTTCATGTGGCTTGCGGCCTGAATATTCTCTATTCACACAATCTGCAAGATATCGCTAGATGAAAAACAAATGCCCACTTGTCTAGACCCATGTCATACTCGGTACTGAAGAATATCAGTTGCTCAGACTCGCCAATCAACATAACGAATTTCACCAACAGCTCTCATTAATACACAAACAATTTCACTGGTAGGTCAAAAGCACTGTGAACCTTGAAGGTTAGCAAAATGCCTGATCACCTTTTTGTCTCCACGGAAACTTTGCGGAGACATACTATCCGGAGACTTTTGGTCCAGCTGAGCAATTCCGACATATATAAGCTTGTTTGCGAAGGCTCAATATTTTTCAACTTAACCTCTAACCTCTCCTCGATCTCTTGTCTTCCCTGTCACCCCGAATCACTACCCGCTTGACTCTGAAAGACATAATGGGGGACAAGATCCACAGTATCAGTGACGAGGCCAAGGCTCTCGGGGAGAAGAACAAAGAGCATTTCGAGTAAGATTCCCCAAACGCATATCAGTTGTGGTCTAACATGGGCAGCCAAGTAGCTGCTGAGGTGTTCAAGCATCCCTGGATTCAGCGGTTATGTAGCCAGATATCCGACGAGTTACAACAAAACCTAGGCTGGATCGGCGTTGCTGACAAGCCGGGTCAGTTCAAAATGCTTGATTATGCCTGCGGCAACGGCGTCGCTTCTCGTGTCAGTACTCCTGTCCTTTGTAATACCAATTTGGCTAATCGTGTTAGGCACTCGCCCCGTATGTCTCCGTCGTCCGCGGCATCGACATCTCATCCAAGATGGTTGAGCAATACAACATGCTTGCAGAAGCTGCTGGATTTAGCTCGGATAAAATGAGAGCTATACACGGGGACTTGATGGACCCCGAAGCATCACCCTCTCCCGAGCTTGACACTCCAGAGTTCAACGACTTTGATCTCATCGTTATGTGCATGGCTCTCCACCATGTACAGGACTACACAGCCATGATTCAGAAGCTAAGCGAAAAGCTCCGCTCTGGTGGAGTGCTTCTGATTATAGACTTGGTCGCTTCCTCAGAAAGTGGTTGCCCTGAAGCCCCCTTGTCTAAAGAGTTGTCTAACCATACAATGTCCAAAATGGGGTTTACTGAGGTAGAAGTGAAGACTGCATTTGAGAAAGCTGGCCTGGAGGGTTGGTCTTGGAGATGGTGCTCTGAGAGATCCCAGGTCCCTGAGGAGATAGGCGGAGAACAGCAAGGCTTTTTTGCTCGAGGTTGTAAGAGCGCTGGGATTGGTGAGGTTAAGCAGGTCTGATAGATTTCCAGTTAGATACAGACTAGATATGATTGTAGTTAAATGTGGCAATGGGATGTTGGCCAATATGTACAGGAGCTGTGCATAATCCTTTTAGCCATGAGCCTTGGAGTGGGGAAATGCGTCTGGAGGTAACTTTCAGGTGTCATTGAGTATTAGTGTGCCTATGGTTTTTTCAGTCCAATAATGTCAGCGACTTTACTCCTCGCCACTCTGACATCACATGATGATGTCAGAAACCAACATATTCGGGCTTTCAAGACCCGGCAATAAATACTTGACTCTCACAACCTAAAGCCACAATCATCTACTTGGATGCGCCACGAACAGTCACCATGGGAATGCCATATTCAAAACAAGTCCACGCGGCATTCGATCAAGTCACACCGCTTGTGGCCGCTGGATTCGAGGTTCTCCGCACGACCAAGAACATTGCAGTCTTTCTTGCCTTCCTCCAAGTATTCGTAGCCCTCATATTGACTCTCACGCTATTAGCGATCCTGGCGGTTATATACTCTGTCAATCCAGACTTGGAAGAAGAACGTCGTGCGCTCGTTACACCGTGCATGCAATGGATAGCGAGTTGGGTGATGGAGTATGGATCTTTAACGGCGTGGATTTTGAAGCTCCTTCTGGTTCTCGGTACTGCTGGGCTGGGAATATTTCTCTGGCAAAGGTCTACGACCGAGGTTATTCCGGAGGTTGAAGGCGAGGAAGACGCTCCCGAGGATATTGAGTGAGGTAAGTTGCACATATCTCAATAGTAAGTGACTAATCAACAAGTAAATCTCTTAGGTCACAATTTGGATATTATATACCGTCCTAAAGTCTATAACCACAAGAATCGAGGCCTAAGCTCAGTTACAATACAATTGTCTATGAGATTACAAACATCAGCTTACAACTATTTCATCCTTAACACTTAAGGCCTGGGTTTCGGTTTCGTGACTCGTATGTGTCGCTGGAAGTTGTAACTAATACAGCGAAAGGGATTTATTCACAATACAAAGCATAAGCGTCCATCTCATAATCAATCTCTGTTCTCTTCACTACCTAATCAGAAACGTTTCACAACACATGCATCAGTCCCTAGTGCTTCGAGATCTTGAACTTCTGGTTCGATCCGTTATTGCCATCCCAGGTCATAAAAGGCGTGTAGTTGGATGTGTCGCCCTGCCTCAAATCGAGATACATGCCGTCCTTCAGGTTTCGGATTCTATTTCGAAAGTCAGTCAAGGTGTCCAAGCCAAAAGCAGGAATATCTTACTTGAACACGGTGTTGTTGTTGATCGAGTCAACGGTCGTACCCTCTAGTTCCCATTGCGTTGCCTGGTCCGATGTGTCTCTACCCGGATCGCATCGAGCCTTTTGGTTACGTCCTATATGACTGTAAGTAAATGCTCCAATGGTGAGTGCTCATGTGCACATACCAGCAGACCAAAGAACATAGTTGTTACGCGTGTTCTTGATGATAACGACATTGTTGCGACCACCAATAGAATAAATGTCCCAGATCTGATTGTTATTGTTTACAAGGGAGCTGTGTGATAACAGTTAGATGATTATTTTCCTGTGTTGGTATGCTGGGACACTTACTAGCATTGAACAGGCGTACCAGCTCCTCCTCCATCAGTGAGATCAACCGCGATCTCCCTGTTGCTGGGCGCTTGGCACTTGATGTTGCACTTGAACTTGAAGACTGGGATTGACTGTAGATTTCGGATCTGCTGCTGTAGGTTATTGATCTGCGACTGCAGATTGTTGATCGTAATCGACTTTGCATTGGACTCCTTGGTAAGGTTGTCAATTCGAATAGATTGATCACGAATGGTTGAGTCCTTGGCATTGATCTGGTCTTGCTTGTTCCTGACATCTTGGAGGGCTCCGTTAAGCTTGGACTGTAGATCAGCGTTGTTCTTCTCGAGCTGCGAGATTATGGCTGTCTTGTCCTTGGTCTCCTTCTGCAACTTGTCAATATCCTTCTTCTCAACTTCGAGCTCAGCTTCAAGAGAGGCAACGCGGGTGGTGAGACTCGCGATAGTAGCGCTAGCAGTAGCCAAACTAGCCTCTGCTGCAGCAAGTGCTGTCTTGGTCTGGTCAAGGTTCTTCTGCACCTCAGCCTTGGAAGCTCGTTCGTACTCAAGTTGGGCTGCTAGTCTGTCAATGGTCTTGTGGTCATCAATATCGTGACCCTTGTCTTTCTTGATCTGGTCCTCGTCCTTCTTGATCACCTCGTCTTTCTCCTTCAGCTTGGCTTCGTAGCTAGCTCGGGCTTCATCGAGTCTCTTGGTCAAGTCGGTGACCTTTGCCTTCTCAACAGTGAGGCTATCTCCAAGCTGCTTGACCTCTTGTTTGAATTGGGCGATTGCAGCGTTACGTTCCTCGAGCACCTTGCCTTGAAGATGGAAATCAGCGTCCAATTGATTGAATCGCTTACTTGTTAGCCGATGCCCGACTAAAGAGTCAGTTATTGTTGCTCACCTCATGCGCGTAGTTGACAAGGTAGCCAGCTTGATCGGCGTAGGCCACTACATGTTTCAAGTTCTCGATGATTCCGGTGGGAAAGGGAAGAGGTTCGAGGACACGGGGGAGTGAGGGCTCAGGCTGGGGCAGGCGGACTTGGAGTTCGGCATTTTGAGGAGGAGGGAGCGGAGCGTCCCAGCCACTAAATCGTGGTTAATACTGACGGGCGGCGTTTGTTTTCGTTGAGACAGGCATCTTGGACTTACTGGGTGTGAGGGTTAGAATCGCTAACTGTCATATTGGTTTGGATAAGTTTTGAAGAATAGAGAAAGAAGTAGTGTTAGTTGGTTCTGGTTCAGAAGAGAACAATTGGCATGAATGGGAATGAGGATTATATAGCCAAAAGCAAAGAATATGCATTCATACAGTCTCTATGCAAAGCCATGATGATAGATATTCGATATTACCCTGATTTACCGAATCCAGCACTTTTTCCAATACTCCTCTGCATGATTCTACTAGGTGATAGCTGAAATAAATATGTGGCTTGCTGAAGCCAAGTTAGGAAACCCCTCAACCGGTCAGCAACAACAAATCATATTATCGTTCTATCTCTGACAGGGATGCACGCTTTGACGTTGCTGACAGACCAGATCAGAACTTTACCCCGCTCGTTACCCATGGCTTTCAGTATCGTATCATAATTGCAAATAATAAACGTTTAGACCCTTGCTGCAAGCCCCAGAAGGGTCGGATCTCTCGGCAGTGGCGAGCTGACAATCCCATGATCACCAAGGAGCCGCCAGCCACATTTTACCATGATTGACAGGGCATGTTTCAGCCCATTGTCTTCAGCAGTCCTAAAATGGCCATCAGCTCCCAATTGACAGTCTTAATGGGAAAGGATCGGCCGGGAGGGTCATGCATGTCGGCGCTCCCGGCACTTGGACTAAGACTTGTGTTGTCAACGTCAAATAGACTCTTTTCATCAACATCGTGACAAAAGGGAAAAAAACGAGAGCCGCTGAGAAGAAGCTGTGCCCGAGTAAAGTTAGTTTGTGAATTTCCACATCGGAAATCATGACTGGGGTATAACTATAGCGGGACACAAAGCAAACGGTCCAGATTGTGCAGGGCGGAGCACCCTGGATTATGCCCTGGTAGCTGATAATAACACCATTCATTCGTGCAAACGGTCCGTGTAGAAGAGCTACATCAGCTGCAGAACGCACACTAGAACTACTGCTTGCTTCCATTCTAAATCCAAAGGTAGTTCACGGGGAGTAAGAAAACACAGGACCTTGATATGGGTAGAGTATCATAATGAACTCAGTAAAGGACATCCTAAGTTTAGGTAAATTTACCTTAATCTTTTTGTCACTCAGGATCAACGGCCTGAGTTTTCTTTCCTCTTCTAGGTAGTTCATAAACCTCTCTCCCTCGTGTAAAATCGGTCAAAGAGACGATGTAACGATGACGCTGACTGCATTCAATAGTCCGCCCGTATATATGCCTCAGCTTGGTATTTCAGCCACTCTACAACGGCGGTTATCAGCTCGCCCCTTTGCTCAATATTGTTTCTGCTTGGAAAAGATCGGCCAAAGGGGTCCTGCAAGATGGCCCTTCTGATACGAATCAAGTACGATAGACGGACACGTCAGCTGCAAGTATGATATAATAATGGCTCATAGGGATATCGGCTAGGGTAAATACGACGTCAAAGCGTAGGGTTGCATATTTGGACTAACATGTGCGATTGGAGATGATTTGCTGCTGGATGCAGCTGAACTTTCTCAGCTATGATCAAGCAGGAAGTCAGAGGAGACTTTAGGAAAATTATTGGATCAGGTAGACATATGAGATATGACTGATTCTTTATATTGAGCGTAGTCTGGCTCTGCATAAATAATCCCTTTTCCATTTATGCTCAACCCGCATCACCTGCATAAACTCCCAACTATTCAACTTTTTCATTAATTACCTGTATTGTTGTTTCTATTCAACACTTCATCTCCAACATGTTTGTCTATGAAGGCAGACTCAATTGGGGCAGTTCCGCTCGCGATGAGACAGCTGTCATTATTTTGCCTTCCGGCACGATGCGTCCCGGAGACCCTGTCTTCATCCTGTCACAGTGGACCCGTGATTCCGGAGGAAACATGAAGGCTCCCCTATCCCAGAAAATAACTATCGACAAGGTCACCAAGACTGTCGATGGTAACGACACCTTTACAGTCAAGCCAGGCTACTACAGATGGAACATGACCTCCCGTGACAACTACGGCAAGCTTGACTTTGTCTTGTCCACAGACACCACTACAGCTACAAGCCGTATGGAGTTTAAGCGCGTCTGGAAGCCTGCGAACCCACAATCAAAAGAAGCCGGCAAGATTTGGGTCAGCAAACTCACCTGGCCCGTCTTGGCAGATAATGAATTTTGCCTATTTATTGCCCCTGAAGGGTTTGGCGAAGGAAAGCCTTTCCTCTCAATGTGGCAGTGGTCCTATGATAAATATCTCAACGAAAGAGTACCAATTTTCCGGGTTGGGAAACAGAGCATTGGCGCACTTGACAGTGACTCTGCCATGTTCACTTGTGAACTGGACTCTGACTACCTGGTTACATGTGCCTGGGAAAAGACAACTGATGTCCTTAATGTTTTTATGAAGGGACCAGAAGGAGACCAGGAGGTAGGCGAGTTTAAGGTATTTGCAAATACAAAGCCTCATGACGGGGCTTCAGACGAAGTTGCAGAGCTGAAGAGAAAGATCAAGGAGTTGACTGATAACCTCACTGCTGAGAAAGCAAAGACTGCCAACTTGACGTCACAGCTTGCTCAAGCCCAAATAACCTGCCAAGCTGAGAAGACGCAGAAAGATAACGAGATCACGAGATTGAAAGATAAAGTCTCTCAGCTAGAGAGGGACAAGACTGCTATTCAGACTAAACTTGACGAAGCTCTACGCAGCAAGGGCGACCAAGGCCAGAAAGATACCAAGATCAGTGAGCAGGCTACTCGCATCAGCGACCTTGAGAAGAAGCTTCAAAACCGGCCTCAGCTCTTGTTCCGTTGTCAATTCAGGAGCAGAATAACACACAGTGATGCGCAGTGGATGCTCCAAGTGACTAACGTAGGATTTCCCGGGAACAGTCCTCCCGTTTCCATCAAGTAAGTACCGAACTATTAACACCGGAAAGTACTTATCTAATCGCCTACATAAAGAGAGCATCGCGTTTGGAATATAAGCCCATACTGGGAGATTTATGCTGTTCACAGCTCCAGTAATGCTGTACTGCTTGTGAACTCGCATACCGGCTATAATCTTTGGTCCAAGGGTATGTAAACATACTATCTCGTCTATGAAGCACTAACTGATAGCTTTGCTAGGAAATCAACATAATGCCCAAGCCACGCACCACGACTATTCAGACCCTGCAGCGCATTGGGTTCTAGAGGGTACAAGAAGAGATGACGCTAGAATGAGCGATATAATCAAGTCAGTAATCTTGAACTGTCGATCTTTGCTAAAAGCTCTACTAACTGCACAAACAGGATTCGTAACGTGAAGGACGGTACATATCTTGATGTGAAGAATTCACGTGCTGCAGATGAAAATGCTGTGATTACACATACCGGTAGTAGTGGATTGAACCAGAAGTTTGAGATCTTCCTGGGCGGCGGGATGTATTAGAGGGGCCAAGGTAGTGGAGGGGGGTTAGTTACTATACAAGTCAGAATTAGTTTTAAACCTAAGTCGGACGCGCCATCATTAAGCTCCTCGTTATCGCCGACTTCGAGTTCATAGGCGCACTTGGCTGTCATGGACCCCACATGTATGAAGGCATTGCTATTACCCGCAGTCCGCTTCATCAAGGTGGAGATGCCTTAGGCGGCACTGCATCAGGCCTGCCATGTCTTCAGTCCCAGATGGGTTCATGGATTGCGTCTTGACGCGTATGTCTAAAGTGGAACTGCCTATCAAGTTTGAGACCAGCAACCTCCGACATACATGGCCAGGTGATCAGTGAAGGAGATATGTTCACGTCAGTTTATATTAACGATTTCTAAACTCAAGAATAGGCTAAGAATGGAACGCATGAGAAACAATAATGACGTAGCGGAAGTGCTCTCCAGCGGTTGGTTTATATTTATTTCATCAAGACAAAATAATCGAAGGCCGATTGGCAATCCCTATAGCCTTGGGCAGTAGTATCATAGGATATATCACCACTATCTTTCGGAAGAGATACCAAAAGGGATGTGGGGGCCTAAGGCACCCATATCTCAACATGGTGCTGCAGTCAGCCACTTTCAAAACTCACTATCGACGCCACGGGTGCTGCGACTCGCAGTCACTTATCTTTTCCAATTTTAACTGGCAGTCTTGCCGCTGTTTGGATGATCTTTTGTCTTATTAGTCCGAAAATAATCAAGACGTGTAACAGGGAGTGACCTTGCTGTAAATAGCGCTGAGCAATAGCTGCACTGCTAAAATTAAGGAGTTTCGCCTGACAATAATGCTAGGTTCAAATTGGCAGAGCAGGACCGAGTCACAGGTGATATGACTTAGCCGGCAGCGGGTAAATCTGACCCGCCTTGGCTGATCATTCAACAACTATATAGCCAGCGATCATCCCCTCGTTCTCGTAGATCCGTGCCACTTTCATCATTGACCTAAGCTCCTCTAACTAATGTTAACCAAATTGTTTTATGCTATGAAAATGCTTATTGAGCTTCAGCAGTCTACATTCTGCGAAACCTAGGGCAATCAAGGCCTCGAAGACATGTCATGCCCGACCTGCGGGCATAAACCAAAATGAAAGGGCACAGTGAAGTCCTAGAATCCCCAGTAAGCTTCTGAATATGCAGTCACCAATTTGCCCTAACTTATCTCTCTTATCTAATAGAAAACGCTTAATGGACTGACACTGTCCTTGATAGACTCTTCCTTGTCACTTGAATTTATGTGACATTGAGCTATACGGGTTTTATGGAGAACGAGACCTTTCCAGCGACGTCACTCAGAAGGAAGAAGTCTGGGATGCGACAATGCCAACTAGTCAGTTTTAAGATGTTCCGAATTGATTCTATTCCATGCATCTGACTCTTAGTATTCTTTCCCGGTGTCTTGTTCATCGCTGCCGATTTTAGCTGTTACCTTGTTCGCACTGAATCATTTTCATTAGTCTCTTGATTGGTTATTAAAGCTTATGACCTCTCAATGCGATATATCAAGCCAAGACACTAGAAAATCCCAATTAACTTCAGCTTTTACACGGCGATATGCACATTGCCTCAGCAAAGATAATTCAGTCCAATATCTTCTACAATATTACCCCTCTGTAATGGTCGATCTTTTTCTTCGGCAATTATGCCATTGTCCGTCGATATTGCTCCACCTATTCCTTTTGGTCCATTATGAGAATTCTTTACATGTAAGATCTAGGCGTCTCGCCTATTGATTACATTCTGAGCGCCCTGTCAGGTGCACTCTAGGCACAGAAATAGAAATTTTGGGGTTAAAAATAATCATTAATGAGGAGTATTAATTACTTAAATGGATATTCTATATTTATGAGTAAGTTTCTATAAAACAGAAGATGCTAATACTAGATTTGCCTTGTGGGTATATACACCCTAGGTTTAGGGCGATTTTTCGGTATAGGAGAGCTCACTTTATCACTTGAAGCATCTAGAAAAGCGATTTTGCAGAAAGAAGCCTGATTAAATCACATTCAATAGTGACTTCTATGCTTCCTACATTTACAGGGTACAATTAAGGTTATTAAGTATCCGCCTCGCCTGGGGTCCTTGCACGACTATATCCCTGCCTATCGCGTTCAACTTCAACCAACGCTCAAAAGCACTACAAGCCCAAGCAGGATAACAAAATCCTGCCTCGGGCTGGTCATCTCATGTGTACAGGAGACGGATGATACATGCTGCTCAGCTAGGCAGAACAGTTCGTACATCGGCCACACCGCTAAAGGTGCAGATGCAAGGAAGGTGCTTTATCTGTATACGAATACGCCAAAAGGAACGGCAGCTTACTGCCAAGGCCATGGAATTTATAAGGGATTTATTCCCCATATTACGCCAAGACTTCGCATGTCAGCATGCGGATCAACAGGGGCTGGTTTATGGGTCCCATGCGCTGGCAGACTCATTCACGGCTCCCAAATCCCTCAAGATACGAAAGACCGAGAACACTAGATTGCGCGCAAAGTTATCATACCATTGCAAAGAATCTCACATTCACGGCACAATGGTGTTTCGATTATACTTCACATTGCCTGCCAAGCACCGTCCAGATGCTACAATGTCTGCACGAGAGCGGGCACTAGTTCCATATTACATCTAGATAGCGGTAGAATCCTCCCGTCCCAATCCGTAAGGCTAAGTCTACTAAGGGTCTTTCCGTCAACCTATTTAATTCAAATTTAACGATTGGTGAGTAAGAAGAAGGACCATGTTTTCACCAATCGGACCCCCTATATTGCCCCAGGGTGACGCAAAGCAGGGGATGACGGAAAGACCCTTCGCTGACTTATCCATCGGCCCAGTTTGACGCCGCAAGTAAGTGGATCTGCCGTGCTCTGAAGGATTCAAAAGATTCGGTATTTAGCCAACAGACTTAGCCGTCCCAGCACTAAAACAGGACATATCTAAATCTCGTAGAAGCAAAAGTTCGGCTTGAATAAGTTGGTCTAGAAGTCTAGCGATCTCCGTACCTTTCCAAGTTTGGCAGAATAAGCAGGCTCTTAGACAGGGGTATGTACAGCGTGTTTGAAGGATTTTTGCAAGCGAACAAGGAAGCTCTTCCTTCGAAGCGGGGATACGTTCGCTATGACCAGTAAGACTCTAACATCACAGATTCTTGTAAAAGTTCCGCCTGATGCGTCAATGAATTATCTATAGTTACTAGAACCGCGTAAATACCCTTGATACGAAGTATGCGGGCCATCTTGGCAGGCCTGAGCTTGGCTCATGTCGGTCAAGAATATACACAAGAAAGGAAGGTGTAGGTCAGATACCTTCGAGAGCAGAGACCTGGAAAAACTATAAAGACCACAACTTTTCTCGCTTCGTTTTGTGTTCGACAGTGCAAGTGACAACGAACTCCTCAACTACTGGTCTTCTCCTTCAAACTTCTCTACAAATTAACCAATACCCAAGATGAAGGTTGTGACCTCAATCGTTCTTCACTGCGCTGCAGTGACTGTCGCTGCTGCGGTAAATCTTACGCCCCAATCTAGTCACAAAGGCAATCAACAGTGTACTGACTCTCTCTTAGGCTCTTCCTGACGAGAGCCAGGTAGTCACCGACCCTCTGGAGGGTTATGAGATTGTCCCAATGCAATGGAAAGGCTCTATTAAGGAGGGAGAGGCTCCTATCTCCCTAAATGGCACTATTGAGGTAAGAAATCTGTGAACACTTTTAGCTGTCTATAACTATACTAACACTAAGTGTCAGTCGGTCATATCTCAGATCAAGGAGCTTAACCCGGAGTTCGAGTTGCTAGAGGACGATACGGCCACCTTACCCACGATTGAAGAGCGCAACCCAGTAAGAGATATTTTCAATTTTATTCTTTTTAGCTATACATTCTAACCGGTAATCTAGTCCAACATCATTTGCAATGTCGGCGGGCACGGCTATGTCGATGTGCAAGCAGCTCGACGCGAACAACGGTACCTTCGCTCCTTGGGTACCAGTGTCTGCGGTGTAGGTGGTGGTCCCGGCAAGTGCGCTCGCGTCTCTTGTTCCTATGGCGATGCTATCTGGCTCTGCAACGACAACAGCTTCTACATTGAACCCCGATGCAGCTACTTAGCTGACTATGTTGATCGCATTATTGCGGCGTGCCAGTCGAAAACCAGCAGCCCGCCTTGTACAAGCAAGCCTTGCCCTCCTAGCTGGACTGCGTATTTCGTTCGGGGCCAGCAATTCGACACTGATAGGTACAACGTTATCGTTGGCAGAGACAACTGCTAGTTTCTTGATCGGCCGCATCATAGTTATGTGAATGACTATGAAGAGCGCTATATCGGAGTCTCCTGTGAAGGCGGGAGGCCTGGACTTAGGTCTCGCCAATACGAGACATTGAGTCGCTAGACTAGATTACATTCTTCCTATGCCCTGTCAGGCCCTGGTTTCAATTAAACACCCTAAACTTCTGAGCTCTTCCTGAAATAACTATTTCATGTGAGAACTTAGAGACATACATCTCGCATTGGCCTTCCCAGTAATGGGAGCTTGTCACCCTTGTGTTACAAAGCTGTCAATCATGTAACAACCGGCCTTAATTGGCAAGGTAACTTGAAGGGCTTGTTTTCAGGCAATGACAAAGTAATAATAGGACGAGACGAGCTGTCAAGAAGCTTTGAGGCCTTCTCATTCGGTCCTGATAGTCGTACCGGCTTCCGCCAATAAACTGTCGTGCGTCAGTTGGTTGGTAACAAGGAAGTGGTAGCTCAGAGCTGAACGCAACAAATGGCTATTAACAAGTCTACTTCTGGATACGAGGATGTACGGTTTGCTTTAGCAACGACCCCAAGATTGATATCTGGGCCTTTGGCTAGTCCTCTTCCTCGTATTTGAACTTTGAGTTCCGTGATGCCGTTAAGATGTATGTAGGAAACGACTTTCATAGGCTGAAATCGCTCCTCATTCCCCACTAGTTAAATTCCATTAGTCTTATTATCAAGCTCTCCTGCATGCAGAATATATAGTCACGGCCTGGATTCAGTCCACGGATTCGAAAAACGCATCCTTAACCAATATCATCCAGGCAGAATAATAAGTAGATTCGATACAAGATAAGCTGTAGAGACCGGTAAATATCCATTATTAGCCTCTGATATACTCGATAAAGAGTTTGCCAGGCATACCTTTGACGTTGGAGTCAAATACGCAAGAGATATTCCAGGCGCCGCGTTATCGTAACCTGAGCATCTGGGAAATTCACCGCCGGCAATTTCTGTTCATGGTTACGTTAATATCGGTACTTGACGAGGTGTTTGCCTAACTGTTTTTGTCATTGGTGGGTAATAGCGATCTTGGACTCTAAATACTGGAAATGGTCCTATCTTTTCGTACAAGTGAATTATCCTCCAATCACACTACAACGGCAAGCTTTAGGGGACAAGGGTATGGTTTTAATATAACCTTATTTTATACCAGTTTATTTAATATAATTTTCATGCTGTATATATGGCTTCTATGCTTTGAACTCTGTTCTATATTGGTTAATCATAATTTACTTTTACGAGCTTTATCAACTTAAAATTAAGTATATAAAAGACATCTACATTCCAGAAACACCTCTTTGTATCTTCAGCAGTAAACCAGACTACATCAAGTTCACACACTCAACACGTATTTACCCCCTAATCTTAGATATGAATCCCAAATACCTCCTCTTTCTTCCCCTCGGGCTTGTTTGCGCCAACCCACTTGAGGTCCGCGGCAAGAATAATGGTTGCCCTTCCGCAAATGGCGGGTGCAGCGGCGTGAGTGAAATGTTAACTTAACAGCTCTTCTTCTAACATTCGCATAGACATGCATTCACACCGGAAACGGTGACTTTTGTCGCACTCAGTCAAAGGACGCGACATATGATTTCCCCTGTGGTAGGATATTTAACGGCAATGGTCTGTCTCCTACTGACGTGAGTACATAATTACTAGCATAACTATTAAAAAGGCACAATATACTAATTGGTAATAGTGCGGGGGAAAGTCTGGTGCATCCTGTACTGCATATGGAGATGCAGAGACCTTCTGTCCTTACTGGGCTTAGAGGTGCGGCGATAGAATGTTTGGTGTAAAGGCATTAATACTATTGTGAGAGAATAACCAGTACTATCAATTATATCTTAAAGTTGCCTCAATCCCAATAAAGTACCACTTTTTCCATCAACTCGCTTGCAGATATCTTCTAAAGTACAATTAACACAGATCCAAGCTCCAGGTCACCTGGATTACGGCCATACCTTGAGTCCTAGGTGTAATTCATTAGACAGCACAAGATACGTTCAGCTTCAGCGAAATCAGTTTACAACTGCACACCAAACAATAACACAGTTATAGCTTTACATAATATAAATTATAAAGTCACACATAATATGTTTTTATGGAAAGTAAAGCTTATTTGGAGGAGATTTCGATTCTGAGGATAATAAATGGGAATGTACCAGGTCAAGGAATATTGAATACCAGGGGAGTCAAAATCAACCAACCTGTTGGTAGAATCCAACTAAGGCTCGATTTAGTTTATCGAAGTGACTGCTGGTACATACGGCAATACGTAATGGAAAATACGGGATCTTGTCCGTTCTCCTATAGTCAAACCGGCAGATCAGTAGTTGGGTCCGTGACAAGAATCCTTCCCGTTAGATGTTGATATATATTTCTTCTTATTGATTTAAAGTATTAATCGTTCTTAAGGAAAGCTACTGTTACCTTTTGGCAGATTGTAATACATGACCTAACAAACCGCCTAAATTCGCCGGTTAAGGAGTGGCTCCAAGTGGCTGTCTGTATTGGGAGATATGTGTGAATATTGATCTCAGCTAATTAAGGATAAACAGAGGAACAACTCGGCACGCTGTATGATGAGGAGGTTGACCGTATTACAAGAAAGACTAACCTGGTACATTTTCCTGGCATAGGAAAATAGCACTAGATCTTTTAGGCCAGATTATTTCGAGGCCATGATCGACCTGGGTTACCGTCAAATCATAAAACAGCTGCTTTCAGTTAATGGCGGCTTTTACAGCATTCTTTCCGGATTTAACGATTTGCTTGGTGAGTCTTATTGTCCCAAGTACATCCTCTTCGAGCTATACTAACCAAGCTCAATATCATGGATAGTCCTAGGACGATTGTATAGACCTAGAAATCTATGATAAGAAAACTGTCCATTTTAGAAACTGGCCGCTAAGCTGGCTGCCAATGCTCAGTCGATCCGGTTCAGGGCGTGGGGATATGTTCAAGTTCAGTCCTGCAATCACTCTGGACATAGCTGTCTAAATTCGACATTCTATGGCTCGTTACAGGTTTATTAGATCCTTCAAAGGGGCTAAACTCTCCGGGACCTTCTTAGTCTAATGGCAAAGGTTGCTTGTGAGAAAAGATGGTGGGCTCCATCTCCTTCATAGTTGATCGACAACTCAGCATTGGCGTGCGAGGGATACGCTCGACATCGGGCTTCAGTCATATCATGAGTCTCTGTTCTTACAACCCTGTCACTTCTGATACTGCGACGACAGTCTCAGTGTAAAATCAGCTCGGAGCGAGCCTGACATAAGTTCTCACAGGGAGAAGGCTTGTACATACGACCATACCTATCAGAGAACTCGGGATCCCGTCCGCTCTCCCATAGATAAGCTGATAAGGGGCGGATTAGTAGTTGGGTCGGTGACGACCAGCGAATCCCCGCTGTTGTATGTTTTTTGATGATGTCTGCTGTTGACCTTTTTGCTCTATCTACTACCTAGGCTGCGATTCAGTTAGCCCAGCAACTAGTGCATATGGGAAGGATAAGACAGGCATTTAAATTAACAACCCAATCCTTAACTATATTATGTTAGATTGGCATTTACTATTCTTGAGAATGTCGTTAGTTCGTGATCTATATCTTATCTGATCTGGTGGATCCATAGTACGCGAAATTATACACTAACCCCGATATCTCCACTTCCGTCATCGGCCAACCCACTAACGTTTTTTCTCTCATTCTCACCCGCCACTTTGATCTTGGCATCAAAGACATCCACATGCTCCTTCGGTCATGTCTCCAAAACCATCATCCAGGCTTCAGAGCCCTCGAAACTCAGAATCAGACGAAGCACCTCTCCTCTCCCGCAGCCCCTCACCTCACTCCCCTCCGCTCCCAAAACCGCCTGTATCATGGTCGTCCCTTCCAAACAAAGGCCAACTCGCCGTGATTCTCCTCGCGCGTCTCGCAGAACCCCTCAGCGAGCGATCCCTAGCTTCATACCTCTTCTTTCAGCTCCAATGGTTCAATCCCGATATTGATCCTTCGGAAATTCCGAAGCAGATGGGCTATATCACTGCAACGTTTGCCGCTGCACAGTGTCTTACGTCTATGTGGTGGGGGAGGGCGGCTGATCATCCGAGACTGGGGAGGAAACGGGTCTTGCTGATTGGGCTTGGGGGGTCGTCTTTGTCGGCTTTGGGGATGGGGTTTTCGAGATCACTTGGGATGGCGTTCTTTTTTCGGTTTTGTGCGGGGGCGTTGAATGGAAATATTGGGGTTTTGAGGACAATGGTCTCTGAAATCGTTCCTGAGAAGCGGTAAGTTGAGAGAGATCTTGGGACTAATAGCTCACTGACTTTGTGCCTCAAGACACAAAACCAGGGCTTTCCTCCTACTACCGATGTGCTTCAACGTTGGAGTCATTATTGGACCTCTTCTGACCGGTTTCATGGCTGATCCCGTTCACACTCTCCCTGGAATCTTTGGTCCAGGCTCTCTCCTTGGCGGAAAGAATGGCGTGCAATGGCTCGAGAAATTCCCTTACGCCCTGCCAAACCTCTTTTGCTTCTCAATCCTCATGTCAGCCTTTTTTCTAGTCATTCTTGGCCTTGATGAAACACACTCGCATCTTCGACATCGCCCTGATCCGGGACGCAAGCTTGGAAAACTTTTACTGCGAATCATTCTCCGCCGAAAGAAGAATGAGCATCTTTATATGTCTATCAACACTGAGGATCCGTCTGAGGAGCTGATGGATCATGACGCGGACCAAGAATTCGGGGAAGGTTCAAGACCAGCTAAAGCATACAGCAAGACACGTCCTCCATTCCGAGACGTTCTGACAAAGAATGTCTGTCTAAATATGCTACAGCGCTTTCTGCAATCGCTTCACGTCTCGGCATTCAACTCCATTCTTTTCAGTCTTCTGCCCACGCCTAAAGCAGATTCTACTGATTTCCATCTACCCTTCCGCTTCACTGGCGGTCTGGGTCTGTCAAGTGAGAGAATGGGCTTGGCCAACACAATCATCGGGACGATCGGCATCCCTCTTCAACTCTTCATATACCCCAGACTCATCGGTAAACTTGGGGTAAAGGCTTCATACAGTGCTTTTCTTCCACTGAGCATTGCCGCCTATTTCCTTCTACCGTATCTTGTGCTGTTGCCAGACAATACCGCTCTGGTGTGGACTTGTCTTTCTGCCGTTCTGAGTCTTCAGGTACTGTCTCGAACATTTGTAAACCCTGCTACCATGATGCTTGTCAATGATTCTGCACCAAGTCCGAATTTGCTGGGTACGGTCCATGGTTTGGCCTCGAGTATTTCGAGTGCTGCTCGGATTATGGGACCTACGGTTGGTGGAACGTTGCTTGGATGGGGTCTTGCTCATAATCTTGTTGGCCTGCCTTTATGGGTCTTGACGATTTTGGCTTCGGCAAATTGGGCTATTTTGTGGTGGATTGAGGATGTAAACATGTCTGAATGAGTCCTAAATCCATATGAATTCATGAGAAGGTTAAGTTGAGTTCTTGGTATGATGGATAGGTCTTGTTTAGTATTCAGCGGTTGGTTTTTGAGCTATCGCGATGTCTTCGTGATGCTAAAGCACATGTTCCTTTTGGGTTTCCAGCGAATTGGACCCTGCTTTCATTCTGGCCCCTTCTTTCGCCTCTCAGCCTCTCGTGAATGAAGAAGATATCTCCCTCGCACGCTCTCGTTCTCAAGCATCCGAATCCTCATCACTATCCTCCTCCACAACAAGGTCAATAACCAAAGCCGCCTTATCACTCAACCTATCCAACTGAAACCCTGCCGCAAGCGCATCCGTCGCATCGTGTATACAGCCCGCAACATCGAGTCCAATATCATACTCTTTGAGCGCAAGACAAATCACCCTAAAATGCTCATGATGCAAATCCTCATCGTCGCCGGCGTCAAAGATGAGCACAGCGTTGCGGTGGATAAGACAGAAATCTTCTTTCACGCCGGGATATTTCTTGATGGCTACTAGTTTTGCGGGCGTGCAGGATGAGCTGGCGACGAGTCGTGTGAAGGTGCGCGCGTTAAGAAGGGCATCGACGGATGAGGGTGATTTCGGGTTGAAGATAATTACATTAGGGGGGAGCCCTGGTGTTTCTGAAGGAGGGTTTTGTGCTGTCATTGTAGATGTAATTCAATGCGTTGGAGTTGGAGAGGCTTTGGTGATCAGCATTTTGGCGTGCAAAAAAAGTGAGAGCAAATTGGGTTAAGGCGTGATGAGTCATCCTGTTCAGGGTAGGTTTATTGCACTGCAGTGGATTCCTTGTTTAGCAATTAATAGCATAGACGATCAATATTTAGCAAAACAAATACCAATTAATTCATCAAGCTCAGAAGATATCTGCGTTTTTGTAACAATCAAGTTTACTTATGAGGGACACGTAGAAAAGTGGATAGTTACCACTGTCATCAATTTGTTGTCTGCCTCAGCTCAGGGTAAAAACGACGTGAGCATTTTTTGAAGCCGGCGACCGCTACGGCAGAACCACTTCAACTCGCTGAGTAAATATAACTAGAGTTACAATTTCTATATAGTCTTGGATTGATTTGGTTATGATTGGCTCAGACAATAATTAAGTCGATATAAACATTCGAGTCGAGTCATACTCATAATCGGTTAATACTTAACCTCTTCCGACGCGTCTTATCGGACCAATTATAGTCCACTCTGAGAGGCAGCCAAAAGCTTATCTGCGCGCGATGAGATTGAGGCGCAGGCCAGACTCCATGAGGCGTAGGGACCAAAAGAACGGCCAGAACGGTCCCGAACATGCAAAGAAAAGGCCTAAACCGTTACTGCATGAGGCTATTGACGTTTAATTTGGCCCTTGGCCAGAATCTGATTGCCGCAATGCTCCATTTCGCGGCGCATTGCGAGCACTTGGCTTCAGATGGGGTAAACGCCAAAAATAGCCAATTCTCATGCGCCTCTACAGCTGCTGACCGACCTCCACGAATTGTATAATTCCAGTTCTTGCGAGCTTTATTAGATATAAATGACTCGAAATCTCGATATTGGATTGAATGCCTTGAATCCTAATAATTGGAATGCTCCATAGTAAATACAGTTCGCGCAGCCACCGAAAACCAACAGCCCTATGAGCTTTAGGGGCCTGTTGGTTTACCCCAGACATTCCTCACGACGGTCTGACTGCGCCTCCACATGACTCACTTCCCCTGTCAAGGCATACTCGGTGCCTTCCAAATAGAGTGTAGCAAACAAACTCACCTATAACTCTCAGCCCTACATACCGAGTGACTCACGCGGTAGCATTTCCATCTTTATATAAGCCGTCAATCTACCCCAAATCATTTCCAGATCTTCATCAGTAATCATCATGGAAAAGGTACGCAAGACGTTCTTCGACCCTTTGGCTACGTCAAAGGGTCGGATAGCGGAATTACTACAAACTTTGCCTGTTGGGTCTGCACATCCATTCAGCCCTGAGGGCATATTACTTTGTCGAACCAAGAATGGTATCGAAGAGATTGATATCTCGAGTTACAGTCAAGACTACTTTTTCAATTCCGTTGACTTGGGAGAGATGGGGGAGATTCTGTTAAGACGGATGAAGGGTTTCAGAGAACATCTGGGTAAGAGTGCAGAATATTTACAGAAGCTGGCTGGTGTTGACAATTATTAGCCGTGTTTGATGACTTTCAGATCATGCAGGCTCCAGCAGCTACCTTCAAGATCCCCGTGGTTTCAGGCCAGATTACCATCCTCGCGGTTTCAGAACGAACTCCTACGTATTACGACTTCTGCTTTGCAGATCAAGAATGCAACACCTGTTGTTGGTTGGAACGAACGACCTTTTCTGGAATCAAGCACAGCGGCGATCTTCTTAATCAGCAGGATCTTCTGGACTATGTGAGGATAGACAATGATACCCTGACGGAAAAGCCTATCTGCGTCTTTATCTCCGGATACACGAAGACACGGATCACGAGGTTCTTAGGAACGCACCCAGCCCTGATGGTTGCGGATCACGTTGACAAGGTTAGTAACTAGAACTCGATGTGAGCTAACGAGGCTAATCACGGCTAGATTCTCTACATCATCCCCGTTCCTTTGGACAAGGCGACTATTGGGGATGCCACTATCTGCTGTCCTCTGGTCATCAAGCGTGATGAGGATTCTATCATCTGCTCTATCCTTCCCAAGGCGACAACTGATAGGAACATGATGTGTGACAGTAGGAAGCTCATCAGCCCTTGCTTTCCTGAAGCTATCAACAGCGCTGACTTCACCTTAACTGAAACGCTGCCTGCTATAGCTGCGGAGGACAAGAAGGTTGAGAAAAATGATGAGGTGGAAAGTGAGGTACAGGTTTCTGACAAGAGACATGCCATCTTGACCACCAACCCTTCAAATCTTCCCTCTTTCCTGGCTTCTTCTGACGCCCAAGTTATTCGCTTCAGCACCGGTATCGAATTTATGTCTTCAGATTCCAACAGCACGTCACAGGACAATGCAGCTGTTGTTCTTCCCTGCATCTTTGGGTCTCAGCTTCAAGGTCCAATGCTTCTCTCCACCGGCAGCGCTCCTTCCAATGTTCCTTTCAAGGATGAGAAGGCTCTTTGCGCTTATTACGAACAACTGGAGAGTATTGCCGTGGTAGTCGATGAGCGCATGACCGACAACGCGCGAAACTTGGCTTCCGGTCTTCGGATGAATACCTTGTACATCGTGCAGATCAAGACCAAGGAGAAGCATGAGACCGAAGAACAAGTCTCGGCTGTGTTGAGCTCGGCAAATATCAATGCTATCACGGCACTTGCAGGACCTCAGTCTTTGATTGTGGGCAATATCGGTGACAAGTTTTACTTCTATCGGGGTTTGGCGAATCACAAGATCTTGGATACGACCAAGTTGAACTTTGGAGCGGATATCACCGATGCCATCACCTCGAACAGCGTGGAATCGCTATTGGCTCCAGATATTCCCCGACTTGTGAATCTCAGTGATGACAACACTATTTATCTCCCCTACTCAGCCCAGGTCGTTCGTCCTCAAGACTTGGCCGGTATATTTGAGGGTCTCAGCATCGCCGAGATCAACACCATGCACGACGACATCACCGCCGCAGTCCCCCAACTCCAGACCCTCCTGAGCCAAAAGGACCTCCAGCAACTCTCCAAGACTTTGGTTGACACGCTCTCTGCCAAGATCGACAAGAAGATGGCCCCTCTTCGAAGCGAGTACATAGCCTTCATCACCGCCAATCTCCGCACTGATGATCAAGCCATTCTCAACAAGAAGAACAAGATGCTCGGAGATATAAGAAAGGCTAACAAGGAAGTTCAGAATGTTCTTGAGCCTGTGATTACTAGTCTCGCGAATATGATCTCTGTTCAGACGACGTCGAAGAGAACGCATGATATGAAGAGACTTATGAGACAGGCACAGATCCAGAATAATGTTGAGGCGACCAAGTCGATGACTTTTGAGAGCTTGACGGGTTTGTTAGAGAAGCATGCTGAGGAGATGGGGGTGATGCTGTTGAATATCGAGACAGTGCCTTATAAGGAGATGCTGGCGAAGTTGAAGGGCACTACCATTGACGCCAAGTAAGTTTACGATATCCGCCCACTTGAGACCTTTGTTGCTGACATTACTAGGCCCTGCTGTGCACTTGACGATCGAATTCTGCATCTTGACGGCTTCGACGCCGGTATCATCATGGAGCAATCTCAAAGCCAACACGCCGGCCCTCTCGTCAGCCAAGCCGGTCCCAACCATCCCATCCTCGCGCTTCCCTACCTCAGCCAACAGCGTGGCATCGGCTCCATGCTAGCATGGGTCTGCTGGGATGAGTTCGTCAATCTCAAGAGTCCATACAGTATCCGCTGGATGGAGAAGTGCAACGAATCACACATTGCCGCGCTGAGAATCATGATGAGAGATACACTTAGTCAGGCTGTTGCCTCACGGGAGTATAACTTTGAAGCGGGAAGTCCTGAGATCGGCCATTTGATGAGTTCGTTGCTTATGGCGGCTATGTCGAAGCTCGCTGCGATGAGAACGAGTGCTCCTGTGGTGTTGGATACGGCGGAGGACACGGTTACGAGGTTGATGAGAGGTCTCTTTGGGAATCTGATGACGATTGCCGGATCGGGTGTGCGGCCTCTGAGTATGGTCTGGCAGCTCTTTGGGCTAAATCCCCAGTATGATGTTCCCACCACGGACGCCGATTGGGTTTGGTACGAGAACGTCGTCGAGCTGTATCCCTACACTGGCTGGCCTTTAAACACGTTCAACGACAATCTTCTCAAGCTTCTTGACAAGATCATCGTGCGGGTCATCACCAAGAACGAGAACGTCGCCGAGATCAAGCAGAGCAAGGCCTATGACATGGTGCAGTACTGCAAGCTGCGAAACATCCAGCTCGAGCACTGCCGTACCATCATCACCGTCTTTGAACGAATGCTCACCACGGATGGTATGGATATTGCCGCCATCGCGGGGCGACTCCAGGAGAATGTTCCAAGTGAGCTTGAGAAGCAGACCAAGGGCTACACGAGAATGGTACGATATATCGGCCATCTTGCCAGGGGTGGTGCAAGGCGTCCTACAGATGATCTCGTCTACGGCAATGTGTACACCAAGCGCTCAGCTGCTTTCAAGGATCTCAAGATCGCAGTCGCACTAGCATGCCAAGACAAGGACTGGGATGCCGCAAAGGAAAACTGCCAGGCCGTTCTCAATTTGCATACAGAGATTGCTGCCAAGTGGCAGATTCAGCCAGACCAACTAAAGGTGCAGAACATCCACTACTACCGCGAACTCCTCGACGCAGATGTCTCCGAAGATGCCGAGCAAGAAGTCAAGAACCGCACGAGAAAGGTCGTCGGGCGGATCATGGACGATGCGGAGAAGAGGCGAATCCCATGGCAAGTCGGCAACGACGCAGCCAAGAATAACATCGAACCTCTTGACGAGCAGTTCCTAGAGAAGGTCCTCACCGGAACACGACCTGAAGCTGAGACCAAGGCTGTAGTCCAAGTTGTCAAGGAGGAAATCGTTGAAGAAGAGAGCTTTTCAACATACAAGAGTTCTTTGGCGCCTGCGTTTGTCTCGACGATGGAGAAGGCCCTCTCAGCAGAGGATGTCTGCGCGATAACCAAGATTCCTGAGTCTGCGATGAGAGTGTTCATCAAGGCGCTTAACCCTGAGTTTGAATGGGATGATTTGGCGCAGCAGTTCAAGATTGTGATATTGAGTTTGTTGCGGGAGCGGTCGGGGCGGGTTGAGAGCAGACCTGCTGCCAGAATGTTGAGACTACGATGACTTTCACGGGCAATGGATACGTAATGATATGATTGAGATTTAGTCTAGTGTTATTGGTCTTGGTAAATCAGGCTTTCTTATGTATAGCTGGCTCTAATGAAATGATATCTAAAGTTTCTCTGCCCGAGAGTTCCTAATTGTCTTATCAACTATGCGCATTGCTCGGAGACATTCCTCGTCTCTGTATCGTGGTGCAATGATTTGGATTGCAGTTGGTGCACCGTCTGTGGCCTCGGGAATGTCTGATATCTGTTAGCTACGGTGGAGTAGTCCTTTATGTGGTAAAACTTACAATCAGGGTCGAATGGGGCTTTGGCCTTGACGTGTTCGGAATCTTCAAACTTGGAAGAGTTGCCAAACGGAATGATACCAGCAGGGAACTGTCATCACATTAGCATGCCCCATTTTCTGATATGGAATGATCAAAACTTACATCCAAGACATTCCACATTAGGGTATAAATAGGAACACCATAAGTATCATGAGGAATAGCCGTAGTAGAAGCTCCAGGAGCAAGGATAACATCAAGCTTGTTGTCACGATACGTCTGCTGCCAAGCCTTAAGGTACTCAAAGCGCACCTCATTCAGCCGAGACAACTTCGTAGGTGTGTCCAGATCCGGAGGAACAGGGAAGTTGCCGTTGGTAAAGGGATGAACAGCGATAGCCACAGAGTTAACAAGTGGTTCACCGATCTCCCGAGAAACAGTATCGAGATCAGGGCCCATGATACTAAATAACTGGAATCCGATTCTTCCACCAAGACCAGCGTTTCGCTTAGGATCTTGAGAGAGGTAAACAAGCTTATGGCCTGCGTTCTCAAGTGCAGAAGCAGCCTTTGCTAAAGCACGTCGAACAGGTGGATGCAGAGGATAATCGGGGTCTTCAGCCATCACACCAATAGTAAGTTTGGTATCTGCCTCACCGAGATCTCTCCAGGGAATATCCGCAACAGTGGGATCATAGTTCCAAGGCCGTTGAGCAAGAGTGATCTTCATGAATAGCTCAAGATCTTCGATGGAGTTGGCCATGGGGCCACCGACTGGTGCAATACCAGGGAGATGATCCTTGGGGAAAGGATATTCTGATTGGCCTCCAAAGGGTACGCGCTCCGAAGTAGGCTTGAATCCGTAGATACCGCAGCATAAGGATGGAATGCGGATGGAGCCGGCAATGTCACTGCCGACACCGAGGGGAGATCCTCTAAAGGCGACGAGAGCGCCCTCACCGCCGGTTGAACCACCTGCTGTGAGGCTGGTGTTGTGAGGGTTGAGAGTTCTTCCAAAGATGTTGTTTTCCGAATCTGCTGTCTACAGGGTGTCAGAAAGTCCAGTTGTTGTAGTATGGGGAATAGCTTACCATCATTGTCTGGGGCAGGTTTGTCTTGCAGTACAAAACAGCTCCAGCGTCAAGCAACAAGTCAACGAGTGCAGAATTGTGGTCAGGCATTGGTTGGCGAAGAAACTCAACATATCCGACGGTGGCATGGTGGCCTTTAACGCGATATGAGTCCTGGTTTTTTAGTAGAGGTTCTGCTGTTGGAGTTGTTGATGCATACCTTGAGACTAATGGGCAATCCATGGAGTGGACCAGCCAACTTTCCTGTCGTCTTTAATTGGTGATCAAGTTCCTTAGCTCTTTGAATGCCCTCCTTGAACATAATCTCAGTCAAACACGATGTCTACTTCTGTTAGTACAAGTTCCCACGGTTGTCTTGTTGTAACATACCAATTGCTGAGCAAGACTTGCACGCTTGGAAAACGCCACAGTAACCTCCTCTGAAGAGAGTTCTTGAGAATGTATCTTGCTCAACAACTCAGCAGCAGTATGCCTCTCCGTGATAGCAATCTCCTTCTCCGTCAAAAGTCCAGACCTTTGAACAGCCTTTGACTCAATAAGCTTGCTCCCACCACCATCTCCAGTATTCTTCAGTCCCTGGAGTTGTTTCTCTGAGAGAAGCCATTCTGTCGGTACAGCATCACGCTGCTTCTCGCGGTGCTCAGCGGCAATGGTCTTCCAGTTGGTGGTAGTAGCAGGCATGGTGAATGATGTGAGGATGATGAGATTTGCTGGAGGAGCATTCTGGTCTCCGCATTGTTTTTAATGAGGAAAGAGAGCAGGCGACGGAGCTTCGGAGGTCTAGATCATCTAATCTCCCCCACAACACGGTAGGTTACCCCATACTGCAAGCCGAGATAGCGTCGCCGCGAGTTTTGGAGGGGTTTGTTTTAGCTCCGCCGCGCATGTAATGCCCTAATTTGGCAGTTGGAGCCGCCGACGTGTCGGCAAATTCATGCGGCACGGAAACAGGGTCTGATCTGCAGTGCCAAACTATAGTATCATCGGTATCATTTCCGTGGCAGTCATCGTATCAATCCGCGTATCAAATGGAACATGATTTGTAAAGATAAAAGATGCCCTGGTCTTCCTAATCAAGTGCACTAGTTTTCAGCAAGATCAGATCTCAGATCTAACACTCCCTGCTCACTCCCCGGTCCATCACCTTCGGAATGGCTTCTCACGTTCCATCCCCCGGAAACGACTTCTCTCCTTCCGAAGCCGATATCCCATCCATGCGCATGCCGCATCTCGAGTTCATCTACCGCATCGTTGCCGAGATGGACAAAGAGGGGGTTACCGAGATTGCAGGCATCGACGGAACCTCCAAGAGCAGAGTTGTCCTCCCCATCCAAGGAGGGCAAGTAAATGGTCCTCAGGTTAAGGGAGTCATCGTTGACAAGAGCGGTGCCGACTGGGCCGAAGTCATTAACCCCAATAAGGTGAATACTATGCAAGAAAAGAAGAAAGCTTATCGTCGATTAGCTAGCTAACAGGGGTATAGTCTCTGGTTCGGTTAAATGCCATGTACACGCTGCGGACTCATGATAACGTACACATCCTTGTTAAAGCACAGGGCATCTATCGTACTGGACCTGGAGTGGAGGAGCGGGTGGGAGAGCGGGATACCGTTACGCAAGATGAGACGGAGTATTTTACGCATATTAAGTTCGAGGCCCCTGGTGATAGTTCCTATGGCTGGCTGAACAGCGTCGTTGCTATTGGGGTTATGATAATGTCGGAGGGGAGGCCAGTCATTGACTGTTTTCGGTTGACAAACTTTCCTGGAAAGAGAGCTGCCAACTTGTAGATGGAAAATTGATATAATAACGTAAAGTTCCACATCGTATCTTTGAGCAGCAGCTTCGTGTGGGGTTGATTGATCCGGGAATAACTACTTTTCCCACATAATGTGACTCAACGACGTAATGATCTCCCTGGGCCGGGTGAGGCTGAGTCTAAAACGCCGCCGCATTTCTAAAGGTGTGACATGCCCTAGCGAATTACGATGCAGCCAATAGGACGGTGGCTGTTTGACTATGAAAACTGCCATTCAAGTCCGTCCACTCCAAATGAAACTTGACAGAAACCTGAGTTTTGAGATGAAAAAAGTATACGTAAATTAAAAATGCCTAAACTAACTGCATCACAGCCTAATGATTCCCAATATCTTCCATCCAATTCCATCCGAGTGTCTTTCATCCATCGTAAGGTCCTGTCAAATACGCGACCGCATCTCGACGAGCTTCCAATAGCGAGGTGCCAAAGCAGTGCGAATCTTCTTGCCGTAGATAATCATGGGCACAAAGAGGGAACCAATGGCGAATGCAATGCAGCCACAAATGATGAACATGTTGGTGAGACCCATAGTTGTCATCCAAGGAACAATGGCAAATGTGACGCCAACAGAGACAGCATTTCGCAGGAAAGCAATGCCGATGAAGGCTTCGGCGACGAGCTCACGATAAGTATCGATGATGAGAGTGAAGGTGATGTCGCCGTTGGCACCGAGTCCAAAAGCAAAGAATGCTCCTCCAAGAGAGGGATAGATCCAGTGCATGCCCTAAAGAATGTTAGTGAAAGGTACTAAGATCAAGGAGGTCAACTCACGCGAGCAGCTGTAGCGCCAAACATGATGATTCCACCAGCCATGAAAATTGTAGGAATCACAAGAGGATACAGTCGCATCTCAGGCTCGTAGATACCTCCATTGCGTCGTGCAAGTCTAACAACAGTCCAGTCTGCAAGTGGTCCTCCGTAGATACTTCCAAAGATGTTGCCAACAAACGGACCCAGAGCCATGTATCCGATACCAGCAGTAGTAAAGTTATAGGGAGGAGCTGAGAAGACAATGGAGATGATCTGCATGAAGATGACAAGCCAGCAGACTCCAGAAGCAAACTGCAGAGCAGTGAACATGACGTGGGGAAGGGTGATGACATGGAAGGGCATCATGAACAAGCGAGGAAGAGATTCGCTCGTCGTGGTGGTCAAACGCATGCACTGACGGTACGAGTTCATGGGAATGGTAGGATCGGTATGAGTAGCGACCGTGACAAGATCACTGCCGACCTTGTTCTTGGAGTCGATGTCTTTCTCGGTAGGGTTGTGCTCTGAGCCAGCGTCATCGTTATCTGCCTCGCCGACCGAGACGGGAATGTACTTTGTCTCCTCAAAGGCAAAGATGAAGACGACGAAGAGAATGGTGAGGCAGATGGACAAGGTGTAGTAAGACCAGCGCCAGCCTTGGTTGGCAGCTTGTGTGCCAGAGGCCATGGGGGTCAGAAACGAACCAACCATGACGGCGGTAAAGTAGACAGCATTAACAGATCCACGATGATGGACAAAGAAGAGGTCCGAGATCTACACCATTAGCGAACGGCCTGAATATCAAAGGGCACAGGACTTACTGTCATCTGAACAGCGGTTTCGTTGATAGCACCGCCGAGACCGGTGATGACCATGGTGATGATCAACTCAGGATAGCTCTCCATTCTCGAAGTCCACCACGAGACACCAGCAAGAACAGCAGTAGACATGATGTACGCAGAGCGACGTCCATACTTGATAGAGAGGGGGATGAAGAACAGACAACCCATAGCTAGACCAGCTAGCTGTGCGGACTGGGCATTGGTCAACTGCTGAATGCTAACGCCCATGTCAACAGTCATCTGCTGCCAAAAGACAGTCTGGATCGAGACATTGGTGAAGGCAGCGACCGTGACGGCGATCGACAGGCCAAAGTTGAAGAGCTTTCGCCATGTAGGCCAATTCTACAGCATGTCAGTCAAACATTCAGTCGTACATTTAGGGCGGAAATGCTTACGAGAGGCTCATTGGGATCTTTGGAGGGCGTTGGCTGAAGAACGAAGCGCGACGCGTCGGTAGCTGACTCTGCTGCAAATCAATCAGCAAAATTGTCATTGACACGAGAGATTATGGTGTTTTACCCAAGATGAGGCGGGCCTCTCCCGGGATGGGGACGCGATCGGTGGAGGTCATGATGGGACTTGGGCTCGCTTGAAGAATTGAGATGGGGAAGAAAGTGGATGTTTTTTGCTGCTGAACTGAATCGTACGATGAGAGGCAAGCACAGGGACTATATATCCCCTTTCAAATCTCAGCCCAGTCCGTGATATCAGAAAGGTAATGTAGGTAGTGTACAGCCACCAACATGCAATGCACGGAGTCTTGTTCTGCACGAGACAAACTTGATACGGTGGCCGTCGGCCGTTGCCTCTACAAACTCAATGTCGGCAGTGCGTGTCAACACTGAGTACGGGGTATAGGGGTCAAGGGTCTGTGTGCGATTAGCTCAATCTCCTGCTATCTCAATCCCTGTCCTGCAAATCACGAGCAGAGGCCATCTCCCCGCATTCTCTACTGTTCCCACATACGAGAAAAGTAAACTTGTGTGGCGATAACAAATGTTCCCGCCCCAGGGACGATCTAAGCCGCTTTAGGGAGATACACGCGCGGCGCCTCTTTCACCCCTTTTCGTCTATAAACTTCGATCCCCAGCCCCGCAGAGTCAGAATATCGCCTCCTTTCGTACACCCAACAATCCCTGAGCCCCCCCCCCCAACCCCAACCCAAGATCTAAGAAGATAGACAGAGAGAGACACACTATGGCCCGATCTCGTGGAGGCTGCCTGAACTGTAAAGCCCGCAAGCGAAAATGCGACCAGGCTCGCCCGGAGTGCCACGCTTGCTCCCAAAGGGGCATGAGGTGCCAGGGCTACTCGACTCCCCTCCGCTGGGTCAATGGCGTCGCTTCTAGAGGCAGATTTGCCGGCGCTTCTGTCCCCGACGCGTCATTGGTCGCGACTCAAGGGCCTGAGAGCAGTCAGGACCTCAATTCGATGGATTCCGAAACTTCCTCTGCTCCTAGACACGATACGTCGAGTCCTGCGTCGGGCTCAATCTCGTCGTCTGCCTTTTCACCCCAGACGATTGGCGTGCCGTCAGCAGACGCGCAAGACCCGAGATTTCAGAGATGTATGCTGTCATCATCCATCCATCCATTCATTCACTCTACTCCTCATTTCGATACCGAGGCAGTTCATTGTAGTCGGTGCTAATTGTTTCGCTAGTCATGAACAATGGCCTCAATCGGCTGTACTCTACGGAAGCCAGCTCATGGATCAAGCCCTTCTTTGAGCAGATGGCTTATCAGAGCCCGGCGCTGGTCATGATCGCCGGTGCGATACAGCTCTACATGGACGATGGGAATCGCGGTATGTCTGTCAAGTCGATGGAATACACCGACCTGGCGCTGCAGACGTTCCGACAAGAGCTTTCCGCTCGGTATGAGCGAATGCACCCTGCAACAATATGCGCTGGCTTGCTAGTCTGTTCGCTTTGTGTACGTGTTCCCTTTCCTGCTTATTCCCGGCCCGAGTCTCGGAAATTAACACCGTGCAGCTACTGCAGACCCAACCGTGGACAATGTACCTCGAGCTCATTGTCGACGTCTACGACCTCAGGACCAAGCTCAGCACCGTTGGTCAAATTTCCAATGATCTCCATACCCAACATCTCCTCGAAGTTCTTGGTGTGATGGATCTTCCCTCCAGCGTCATCGGTCGAGTAAATCCTTCCATCGGCGTCTGGAAGCTCTTCCGTCGTCTTCAAGATGATCGCGACGAAGGCCGAGCGACTGGCGTAGAAGTTGTGTCAGGCATTCCCCGCTCTCTCCTCGATATCTTTGCTAGTATCTTGGACAACGATCCGGAGTATACCGAGACGCGCTTCTGGGACTGGCCGGGACAGGTAGGTGAGTCGCTGCAGTGCCACTACTGGGAATGCTGGCGCCTGGCAGGTATACTGGAAATCCGCCGTCGGCGAAGAATGGAGCGAAAGGCAAGAGGGCTCCCTGACCGAGAGGACGGCACGTCAAGGAAAGGCCCAGATACAGAGGTCGTTCTCTGCCGTCTCATCTCATCGATAGATGCCCTACAAAAGGCCTTTGAAGAGCCTCGCAACCAACACCTCCTCGTCCACAATGGCCTTCCGTATGCAGTCGTCAACGCAGGTCTAGAAGTCCCCCTCCTCAAACAACATCCAACCTGGAAAGCAACACTCGACGACGTCAGGAAGTCGTTACTTGGCACAGATTCCTTTGATCTAATCAATACTATTTTCGAAATGCTTGATGAGGCGTGGGCGAACGGAACAAATACTTTTGACATTGAGAGCGCAGCACGCTCCAGGAATCTTGAACTTGCTATTTTTTAAAGGGTGTTGGGGATAATGGGCGCATATACACTCAAACTTATGACTCTCTTCTGTACTATGAACTACTATTTATCGCTTGAAATGAACGACGCAACTCGCTGGATGAGAGACTTGGTATACTCCGTGCTAGGCGCCGAGTAATCAACCGTGTAGAAAGACACAGACGCCTTGCCATTCTCAACAACGTATGTCTCACCAGGGAGAGAGCAATCACCATTGATGCAGGCGTTCACACCAGCGGCGTAAGGCTTGATGTTGGCCCAAGTAAACGTGCCCTTCTCTTTGTCGAGGACAGCTTCATTAACGTGAGCGTTTCCAGTGAATCGGGTCTGCACGAAATCCGGGTTCTGGTTCTTTTTGGTCAAGACGGGGAGATTGACGTTGACGCCGTAGCCGAGTGGGAGAAGAGGGCCGTTCTTGGGGGAGGTGGCGATGAAGTTCTCGACAAATTTAACGGAGGCTTGAGCGGCCCACGTAGCAGGGTTGGTTTTGTTCTTGACTTCAAAGTAGGGAACTTCCTGGTTGCTTGCGGAGATGGCAATGGCAGGAATTCCACGGTTGGTAGCGGCGTATCTATACGTTGTCAGTACGGACATCTTGCAGAGATGGTAGATACCCTTACGCAGCACCAGCAGTGCCAGACAGCGTCCACACAAAACCACCCAAGTTGGTTCCGTAGTTAGGTCCAGTAACAACAAGATCAGGAACGCTAAAGTTGGCGAACTTGGGGAGGACGTAGTCCAGAGCGACGAATGTGCAGGCAGCGGGCGTGCCGTTGTAGTACCAGATCTGGCTGTCCTTTGGATCGTGTCCAACCTACGTCATCTCAGAGGCGAATTCAAAGAGTGCTGCTTTCAAGAAACGTACTGAGGGTGCACCCTTGGGAATCAAGTCATACTGCGAAGGGGCAGTCAAATTTCCCTCGGTAGTGAAGTCAGAGGTACCACCTTTGCCACTCTGCTTTGTCGCAGGGGCTACAAGCCAAACTGCGGATATGTTAGCACTGCTTTTCGGTGTTCCGAAGAGGTTGCCCACCATTGTGACCCTTCTCCTTGAAAATGCGATACATCTCGCGCAAGTTCCCAGAACCGAATCCATCGTCATTGCCCAACAGAATATTCAGTGCATTAGCGCCCGAAGAGAGCAGAGCTGCTCCAGCGATGAAGGAAGACAGACGCATTGTCACAAAGGTCCAGGGTATGCTGTTAATGTCGTAGTAACGCCGAGTGCCAGAACGAGAGAAGACGTGCCCCAAAACAATCAATTGAGCGATCTCGACGATCTTTTATCTAGACAAAGTCAACGGAGAGCGGCCATGTCCGTTATCGCATTGCCAAGCCTTCAAAAGTTCCCCTGTCTATCATTATAGTATCTATCGCTCGCGTGCTCTCCTTCCAAAAGTGGATAAGGTGAGGAGATGATGAATCTGGGTGTAGATATTGCACTATCATTTCTTGTGGTATCTTGCTAGGGGTTATGATAATCAGCTAGCGGAGCTTATCTATCGCACGCGGGGTTGGGACTAACCATGTGATAGACAAGGCTACCCGGATATTACGGCGACAAAAGATCCTGGTTTCTCAGTAGAGGAACAATAATTGTCCGTCAAGGTTTGATATGCTTATTCGCTAGCTTGATTATGCTACAGAAGACTAAAGATGATGGCGCCAACACCAAGAAAGACAGAAGCACCCAACCGTCCAACTCGCGATGCCAAGTTCTCATCGTCCTCTGGCTCTTCATCTTCCTCCGGCTCTTCGTCCTCCCCTTCCAGCTCCAACTGTGGCTTTCGACTACCCGGAACAACCTGATCCGGGGCAATACATATCAGCGTATTCTTTCCAGCACCCGGTGATGCTGAGAATAGCAACGGGATGGTCTGCTGAACCCTCAGATCATACGTATCAAAATCTTTGCGATCCTCATCACCGAAAATCCCAACCCCCAAACCAATGTCAAAAGTTATGTAATCTTCCGGCAGATCAAGATATGGCATCTTATCTACCGAACAACGCGCCGAGGAGAAATTTCGCGGGATGGCTGAGAAAATAGTTAGCGCATATAGTCATCGGAGATTGGTTCAGAAATACTTTGGCTGTGGCCAATGTACTCCTTGCATTCGTCGCTGAAGTCCAGAGACTGCAGACCCGGACATTTACGAGGACGCCCCGTGGCAGTATACGTGGCGTTCTCGAATTCCCGAATGCATTTCTCGCTAATGACGCCTTTGCACGAATGCTTTTCGTATGTTATGTTTTCAGGAGCATCCATATCTGGCGGATTCTCAGAGGTCCTGTTTGAAGCCTTCAACATGGATGAGCAGAGCAGTGTATCTCTTCCGGCCGGATGTCGCGGATCTGCAAGTGTTTTATGAACGCTTATAAAAACACCGACCTCTTGAAGGGTGTCGACATCTCCAAATACGATATTTGGTCCACGTCTGTCGGTCACAGAGGCGGTTATGTACCATGGCCGATTTTGTCTGGCGAATCTGGCACGTGCTGTGCGCGTTGAGTTGTAGATCAAGTAGCCCTCATCAATGCGTCGGATATCGATAGGGCAGTCTTTGGGCAGCGAGGAGTTCTGCGCGAGACATATTGCAATCAGGTGTAGGAAGATAACAGCGAATATTCGAAACATTTTGTGAATTCTGGCAATAATAATGAACTGGCGATGTTAAATCTGAGCATTGAGGAGCCCCCGTGAGAGGGGAATGGCAAGATACCTAGATATACCCTTCATACTTTTGGCCCCCATTTTATATGACTTCATTGCAGTCCTTGGCGTTTCCTGTTTAGCTGTGCCAAGCAGTCCTTTAAGCTTATTTGCTAGTCTGAGTATGCTACAGCCTACAGAAGATTGAAGATCATAACGCCAAAACCAAGGAAAACAGCCCCCAAACCTCCAACACGTGATGCAGTGTTCTCTTCCTCATCCTCATCCTCATCCTCGGTTTCTTCTAGCTTCAGTTCGGGCTTTCGACTGCCTGGGACAACTTTATTGGGAGTAACACACACCAACTTCCTGTCACTGATACCACCGCCCGATACCACCGTGAATATTGGAACGGTCTGCTGAACCAGTACATCATAGGAGTCATAATCATCATACTCGACACCACTTCCTTCCCATGACGATATAGAACCGCCATACGTCCAATAGCCATCAGGAACATCGAGATATGGTATCTTGCCGATTGTGCAGTTCTCCGTGGAAAGATTCCGCGTCAGGACTAAGCCCAAGTTAATGATTCGTTGTATACCAGAGGACTTTCCAAATCACCTGTCTGTTTTAAAGTAAGATGCTTTTTGCATTCTTCGCTAAGCTTAAAAGCCTCGGAAACCGGACAATTCCTCCCAGCGCGTATCGGGAGAGTCGAAATCTCAAATTCCTTGATACACACGTCGCTTATGACGCCCTTGCAGGATCCATCCACATCGTCTGGATTCTCAGAGCTGCTGTTGAGTCCTTGGAACATGTATGAGCAGATCCCGATGGTATCATTCTCGACTGATCCTACAAGGGGTCGGAAAACACTTATAAAACTCTTGATCCATTGCCTGGAGTGACCGCCATCGAACGTGCGTTTCGGGTCGCGTTCGTCGGTCACAGCAGTGCTGATGTACCATATATTTAGACTTTTCTGTGCCTTGAGCTTCAGGGGCAGGGTACCCGATGCGTTAAAGACGATGGCGCGCCTGTCGACAGCATCTGTAAATTCACTAGGGCTGCAGTCTTCGGTTGATGAGGGATTTTGGGCGAGGCATGCTCTCAAGAGGTATAGCCATATAAGAGCGAACATTCTAAACATTTTGTACAGTTCAGTACCAATGTCAGATTGATAGTTAAAGTAAAGTCGTGCACCGTCGAGGGCGGGGATGACTTGATAAATGTCCTTCATGTGTTGACCCCCAACTATATGACTTCATTGCAATCCTTGGCGTTTGCCTACTTAGCCGGGCCAAGCAATCCTTTAAGCTTACTCGCTAGCCTAGTTATACCACAGGTTATAGAAGACTGAAGATCATAACAACACCAACACTAAGGAAAACAGCCCCTAAACCTCTAACTTGCGACGCCAAGTTCTCATCTTCTTCATCTTCCAGTTTTGATTCAGGTTTCCGACTACCCGCAACAACCTGATTAGGGACAATACACAGCAGCTTGCTTTCACTGCTATCATTACCCTTTGCTACCGACATTAACACAGGAATAGTTTCCTGAACTCTTCTATCGTAATGGTCGAAATCCTCACCATTGTGATCACCATCAAAGCCTGCCCAAACCCCACTAAAGGTCGTGTAATTAGCTGGAAGGTTGAGATGCGGCATCTCGTTGAGTGAACAGCGCGTCGCGGAAAAGTTCCGCACAATCTCTGAGAGGAAGAAAACAGTTAGTTAGTAATACAGCCGGACACCAGAGAAAGTTAATGCCTACCATTGCCGGCAAATACCTGATTCGTACATTCCTCGCTCAAGTTTGGTCTCAGTGAGGTAAAATCCGGGCATTCTTGGCCGAGCGCAGGGACAGATAGGGTTGCATTCTCATATTCCTCGATACATTTCTCGCTTATGACCCCTCTGCACGAGTATTCCGCATTATCTGCATTGTCGGTGGTTTTGTTGATACTTGCCATCATATGCGAGCAGACCCGGATGTCTCTTCCATCTCGGCTTGTACCATATCCTCGCGGAACGCTAACAAAGACACTGAGCTCTTGACGTGAGTCTTGCCCAGAGTTTGCACCATTTATGAACTCGCCGTTTGGGGGGCGCACGTCCGTGACAGCGGCAGTTATATACCACGGTCTCGATTGTCCTTTGAATTTGTAGGACAGTGTGCGTGTCGAGTTGTAGACCAGGCGGTCCTCACTATCGCCGAGGCGCCGAAGTTCCGTAGGGCAGTTACTGAGCGACTGTGCCAAACATGCTCCTGATAGGTACAACAAGATGCCAGCGACAAATCTGCATCTGTACAGTTTGTACATTCTTAGTATCGATGGAAAACTAGTAGCACTACAGAAATGAAGATGCTGGAATGACTGAAATTATTGTCCTTAGAGGGGAATGAATTACGCCTTAAATGCTCTTCGAGTTTTGGCCCCCAACTAAATGACTTCATCGCGATACCCGGAGTTTACCTGATTAAGAATCCTTCGCAATGCAAATCCCCTGCTCAGCGCGTTGTGAAAGCGCCAAGGCGGCGCAGGCTGGGCCAAGACGTGCTAATTGGTGATCATCGCTTAAAATCTCCGGTATTTTAAATGGATTGACGTGTTGGTCAAGGGAATGACGTATTACTATATAGGAGCTTAAGTGCTGTAAAGGATGAACATAAATTAAGGGCCACTTATACCTTAAACTTCTATTGCGTTTAAGTCAATCAATTTGGTTATTAGAAATTAATGTTAAAGTTAAGTCTTGGGGTCGTGAATAAGAATTATAATGGGCATGGGCATAAGTATTGCTGTAGTGAATGGGAAGATATCCTTGATTGAATCAATTAGCACTGAATTGAGTGTAAGTAACTTTAGTACCACTCAAAGAGAAGGACTCTGTGGTAGCCTTCAGCTTCGATTTCGTTCGGCCAACAAGGGTATTTCCGAGGCTCGGCGGTTAAAAAAATGCCCGGGCGATATTTACATCGATGCCGTATAGTAGAGGTCGTTCACCTAGAGGTTGTCGGGTGCATAGAGAGGCGTTGAGAGAGGTTAAGCAGGTTGCGAGGACGGCAAAAGCCAAGAAGTTTATTTCCTTCCTACTTTAGCCGTAATCTACCACCTTAATGTATAAATACTAAACTGCTTCTTCCCTTCATTAGCGGCATCCATTACCAGTATCCCTTAATCACTAACCCTCACAGAGAAGGACCTGGCGTAGATGGAATGGCACAAAAGCACCAGTATCAGTCCTCGTCAAGGTCATCAAGGCAGGCCAGCTATTCTGAGGCAAATCACTCAAGTCAATGCCCAGGTTTGTAAAGGTCCAACTTGGTGACAAACTCTTGCCGTAGGAACCACCATCCATGTTGAAGTTCCACGTAAAGGGGTCGCCCGTAGTATGTGAAACATGGAACGCGAACTGAAGACTAACGCCGACAAGTTCAGCGTTCTCGGGGAGTTCAATAGCAAACTGTTGTAATTTTGCTGCCTCAGCCGGGTTCACGAGCGTAAAGGCTCCTTGGCCTGCTATAGCTTCAAGCACAGGGTGAGTTCCTTGCTCGATGATATTTGGCTTGTCAAGATACTTCCAGTTCATGGCCTTAAATGAAATTGGCCCGAAGGTGAAGTCTGTGATCGGGTCTGATGGTTTATTGAAATCGACATTCTGAAGTAACGGGATTTTATTAGCCAATCTTTCGGAGTGTTGGAGCGACATAGATAACTTACGTCCCAGCCATAGCCTTGAAGGAAACTATAGGTTAATTTCCCTTCTCTGGCGCATTGAGGCAACGTCACTCGGCCCGGGTTTGGATTCTCATCCACTGTTGCAGTGCGAGGAATTGGAAGAGGAATCTGCGTCGACAAAGCAAGGGATGCCACTGTCCAGGCAGTTACGTAGTCTGCTTCCCATTCTACTATGGTGACTGAAGATTGAGCTGCACTTGAATCTGGACCTCCAGTAACAATGGGCTGAGGTCCGTCACTGGTGACCGGTATAGGATCACCAGTGCTAATAGGTAGCGTAGGACCTGTGGCGGCTTCACACAGTTGAGAGACGGTCTCTATCACTGTCTTAGTGGCATAGACAACGCTATCAATTGTAACAAAGCTGGTCTCTGTAAGTGAGACAGTAGCAGTGTCGTACTTGGATGTGACTCTGTGACTCGTAACAGTGCAGTCCTTGCCTGGAACGGTGACCGTCGACGTAATCGTACTCCAACTAGTCACAGGTTTAATCTGAATAAAAGAATTGAAATCAGCACTTGAGCCGTTTCTGTTCAATTGGTGTTTAACAACTTACCAGAGTAGATACTACTGTGGTCACTTCAGTTACTGTCTTGGTGCCGAGCACATGCACCTCCTCTATACAGACAGTGTGCGCACACAAGGCATTCGAAGGACATGCCGGCAGTGGCGAGGATGTAACAACAAACGATGGATAGGTGGCATAGTCTGTTGTGATAGGAGGCGACGAGATGGAAGACGCCATGCTGGAGACAGCATAGGTCAAGATAAAGATTAAGACACGCATATTCAGTCTTTAGATGATAAGGGTGGAAGAAAATATGAAAGATAATAGCAGCGGTTGGTGTGATGAAAGACGTCAGAACGTACTTATTATATAGTGATGAATACTTGCAGCTTTTCTTTACAACACTATCGCAGTCTCTACATTTCCCCACACAGTATTAATGAATAACTTACAAAAATGATGTTACTGTATGTTGCGTACGCATTGAGAAAGGGTTTGAGTATTGGGCCGAAGTTGAAGCACATCCAGCCATCCTTCCCGTTGGTTTCCTTGGGCTTCGGACTGGCCGGCCCGCAGGTCATAGATTGTTCAGCTTTGACCCTCAACAGCTGATTCCGTATCACTTGCAGGTGGCTTGCTGAATCAACTCTTTCGGTATAGAGGCAGAATAATTTCTTGCTAAATAATGAGGCCTTCAAAGCCACGGGTGGAAGGGTTACTTTAATTTTGTTTTGCCACTTTTTGTGACAAGAAAGAGTGCATGCAGGTTTATGTAGTATCTGGTTGGGCATTGGCTCCTACATTGTAAGTACAGGCATTAGTCTTTAGCAGTAAGTTTGATCTAATCACTGCAGGACAATATGAATGCCTTTAGCCGTCACGACTATCAGTGCAGTAGTGATCGAACCGCATTAGTCGTGAGGGAGTTGAGGCTTGCAGAACGCTTGTGGCTGTGATTTGTAGAAACGCCTTGGAGAAGTCATTCTGGGCAGTTCTTTTGATATCACAAACGGTCTGTGCAGAGTCCTGAAGGAGCGAATGCCGAATACCCTACCTGTGCCCCATGGATATTGATTGATGCATATTCCTTTAGGATGTTGCACGTCAAATTGACCAATAGTTCGATCGAGATGCCCGAGTTTGGTGATCTTCACCTGCCGGTGCTTACCGAGGTGGTATTGAAGATTTCAGCTACAAGTCTCATCAAACAGGTGGGACAACGTCACAGGTGAGGAGTCGCGATGCCGCATTTGGAATTATCAGCCAGCCATTTGCGCTTTACCGCTCATGGGACTTTGGAATATTGTCACATTCATCTGTGCACCTGTTGACGGCGCATTAGCATGATATGATAGCTGCGTTCGTATCAAGGAGATCAATATCTAAGCAAGACATTATTGGGTATGAATCCAATAATTCATTCTACGGCCATACCGTGAATAGTAAGGATGCGCGATGCAGAGAGTCGTTCGCGTGAGCTGAGAACAGGGGTGAATCCCTGTCACGGTGAGTCAATTATGCAGCTTCGTCAAAGACGTAGCTGAGAGGGATGTATCAGTGCTTGGCGCTAAAAGGTGTTGAGAAAGATACATACTTCATCTCGTTCAGGTATGCAATGCAATCACATCATTCAGCAGCAGCCAAAGGTACTCAGATCGCCTATGCCAGGTATGCATCAATCAATTTCACTTAGAGGCAGTCAGATACTCAGTCATCATAGACCCAATCTAGCCGCGAAAGCATCTCTAGTTGACACAATTGGGTATATATAGCTAGGACATGCAAGCACCACATTTCCATTTTACACAAGCAAAGCCCAGAAAGAACAGTACATCTTCCTTTAGGTCGAATCCAACAAACCTATAATTGCAATGCGAATCTCCTTCGTCCTATTTATCACAATCCTATACGCAGCCAGCGATGGTAAGTTATGGCCATTGCCTACCAAACTCAACTCTGAGATTGACATTTGTAGGGCACGCGAGAGGTCCCGGTCTTGTCACGTTGCCCGAGAAGTGCAACTGCCCAGTCGGATCTACCTGCCCAGTGACCGACGGCTGCTATATACAGGGCAAGAAGGAAGCGGCTGCCGAAGCAGATCGCCGTTGCTCTGCCTCTGTAGAAGCAGCCAGGGCCGAAGAGCAGGCGAAATGCGACGCCAAAGTCTGGCAAGAGAAGACGAGCTGCGACAGCAAGTTATCAGAAGCTGAAACTCGTTGTAATAACAAAGTATCGGAAGAGAAAAGCAGCTGCGATGCCAAGATATCGGAAGCAAAGACAAGCTGTGACAACAGGATCTCCCAAGCGGAGACCAGTTGTATCGGCAAGATCTCGGAGAAGGAGAATAGCTGCAACGCCAGGATTTCCGAAGAGAAAAGTAACTGCGACGCCAGACTTCGCACAGATGCAGCAGCAAATGGCTGTGGAGTTGCCAAATGGGGGCAAGGGTGGTACGTCGTCAAGGCTGGTGTGAACCTAGCCAACTGCCAGAACTTATGCAAAGCCGACCCCAAATGTCTGTCATTTAGCAACAATAAGTCGCCTAATGGCAACCACGCTTGCTATCTCTATGATAAGGAGACTGCGCAGCTCACTCCCGGAAATTACGGCAACTACGCTTGGGTCCAGTTTGACAAGCATTGCGGTCCGGTGCCAAACTATTCCTAGTGCTGCATCTGGGGGTCGAGGTCTCGGGACAAGGCTGGCATAACTTGGTTTCAGGACTGGCGTCAATCTGGCTAATTGCAAGAGTTTGTGTTTTGCAGACACCAGATGTCTCTCACATAGCGCAAACAAGCTTAACACCAGTGCCTACATCAATTGTTATTGGACCTTTACGATAAGGAGACTGTATCTTGGTTCCTGGCCAGTGGGAAAATTGGATTCAGTAGGATAAGCACGGTGGCTAGGTAATTTTGTAGTACATATCTATTAAATTCAGCTCGTGACATTTTGGTCGGCAAAATGACGTATTGCAACATATCAGCTTTCACGAATGGCTGTTAGTTGGCTACCTGTGACGAAATTGTCACAATTGGGAGCTATTATGCCTTGGATCTGCAATGTTGAGCTGGGACCGGTTTTGGTTCTGACAATGTAGGCCGGCTAGAAACTCTGTGGTTGGTGAAACAGATCAAAGTCGGTGTATCGGCCTTCCTGCAACAGCTCGTTCGTCCTTGTTGTGAAATCTTCTGACTCAATGTCCAACGTTTGTGGTATGATGGGCATGTTCCTCTTCGTTAGTCCGAGGGAATGTTCCAGCAAGAACCTGACCATCCATCCATCCAACTTGTGGCTTTCCGTCGACAGCAGGCAGAGCTTTTGAAATGTCATCAACCTGTTTATCTACAACATGTCAGTGGCATATAGAGATCAGCAGAGCTTGGGTCTCACCATTGCTTCTGTTGCGGGCCAGTACTGCCGAAGTTCAATCAGTGCCTCAAAATTTGTGTTCAATTCCTGTCGCGCTTTTGGGATATCTTCTGGCTCTCCTAACAAAAGCGTATGTAATAGAACAGCGGATGCCACGGTGGTCATATGTCCAACGGTTGGGTAGTTCTGCTGACAGCCATTCATCTGTCGAGAGGTGTGTAACAAACTGCTGAAAGACGAAGCGTGGGATTTACACAGCGCGACGTGATCTTCTTGTCCCGTGTATGATTGCTCTTTTGTCTCAAGGGAGTTGAAGTAGACCAGTGCGGAGAGGTGATGAAATACCAGATGAAGCGCGATAAAGTGTCCTCCTAGGTCGTTCTGTTGGTGGCTGTAGATATTCTGTATCGTCATCCGCATGTTCTCCGGCAGGCTGGCCTTCCATGATTCGAGTTTCTGGCCGATGAGCTTGATAGCATCACATTTTACCTTTGGTTCCATGTCTCCCTTGGCCATAGCGCGGTTCAGGCCTTGGATCTGACCAAAGTGTTGGATCAAAGTCACCATATGCGCAAAGATACCCGGAGTTCGACTAGAATTTTGGAGTAAGCGCGAAGAACTAAGGCATCTGAAGGAGGTTTCGTCGATAGGCAGAGGAGACGAGTCAGGGCAGCGAGGGTTGTCCAAGTGCCGGGGTATTCCAAGACCAGAAGAACACCAACGATCGAGTATGTAAAGTGACCACCAAATTCTAAGGGCTGTCTCACTGGCAATACTTGGCTCATCCACCGAAAAGTTAAGCTGAAGAACTTCAGCCATACCAATCGCAATTCCTGCAAGGCATCAGTAAACTCGCAACTGATAGATCTATATCCACAACAAATGAACTCACGGAGAAATAATGTCTCTGAAGAAGTATGGCAGTTCCCAGCACTGAGAAGTGACAAAAGAATACAAGTCTGCACATGCTCAATACACACATTCTCAAGATCTGCTTGTACCAGCCTCTTCGCCCCCTTCACCAACGGAACTTCCAAAGCGCGATGCTCAGACTTGGGTGAGAACTTTGAGCCTAAAGCACATATAGCGTAGAGCAAGGCATCTCCAATCTCCTTTCTGCGAACTTGTCTCCGAAGTGTTTCTTGGTGAAAAATACTGTGGGCCCTGCCATCGAGATGCGTCAGATAAGACTCGACAAACTCGATAGCCAGCTCATCGGTCAGGTCTGGGACAAATTCCTGGTTTTCTTTGGGTGCAGATGTAGTTTGTGAGCTGACGTGCGATGAGCAGGCTAGGTTCTTGCGCTGACAGTTGTTACATGGCGAATCGATCGTCTGCTTTACACACCGCCTCTTGGCCTCTCTACATTGAAGACAAGATGTCGCTTTCATCGCTGAATTGGATTAATAATGTCTTTTCGTGGGATCAAATGGCCGAGATTGGGTAGTTGAGCGGATGATAGGGATTATTAATGATAGACCAATCGCAGGTTTGTTTGGCCGAAAGTCTCCGGACAGGCTGCGGCCCCGCTTGCGGAGTGTTGAAGCTGTGATTCGTCAGAAGATTGGGAGTCGGAGATGCTTGAGCTAGGAATCTGAGCGCTGCTAAGCATCAAGTACTTCGTTACTGATATTAGCAGGGCAAATACTTATCATCTAACATAAAAGATACATAGTCATAGTCTATATCATTCCTGGTCTTGAAAGACCATGCTGCACTCGTAAGAAGATACCAGAGAAGATGTCCTGTAGTATTTAAAGTCTCTGTTTCCTCTCATGGGCTGATCTTGTAGTTGGTTCAGCAGCATTCACTTCAATCATCCCAAACATTACTTCAAATCTATTTCAGCACATTTCACTCCATCATGGCAAACCTCCTCGAACCAATCACCGTAGGAGGCAAGCTCCCCCTCAGAAACCGTATAGTCATGGGCTCAATGACTCGTAACCGTTGTATCGACGATAACAAACCTGGCCCAGCCCAAATTAAGCATTACGCCGATAGAGCCAAGTACGGCGCTGGTCTCATCGTCACAGAGGGCACTTTCGTCGATTGGACTGGTTGTGACTGGAAACACGCTCCCTTCATGGTTACCCAGGAGCATGCGGATGCTTGGCGAAGAGTGACTGATGCAGTTCACGATACTGGTGGGAAAATCTTCTTCCAGGCCTGGCATGCTGGGAGGTGTCAGCATGATCAGTTGCCCATTATGAAAGAGAAGGGTGCTAAGGTTCTGGCTCCTTCTGCTATCAAAGCTTATGGAGGGAAATATCGAGACTTGAATGGGATGCCTGCAAGTTTCTTCTGAGGATGATGAACGACGTCTGATTGAAAGTAGGGACATACGGACAATATCGAGGCCATTACAGATGTTAAGTCTGTTGTTGACACTTACAGGCGAAGCTGCGAGTTAGCTAAATTAGCTGGGTTTGACGGTGTTGAGCTCCTTGCTCAAGGGTAATATATGACATATCTATTGGCACCTCTGGGCAATTGCTAACTGACATCTAAGCGGTTATCTGCCTCAACAGTTTCTCAGCAGGTCAGTCATACCAATCTTGTCAATGCCAGGTTAGTGCTTATTGTATAGCCGTGCGAATCAACGCAGCGACGAATATGGTGGATCAGTGGAGAACAGATGCCGCTTCACCCTCGAACTCGTCGATGCAATTACCGCCGTCTTCGATGGACCAGAGTATATCTGTGTCAAGATTAACCCCACAGACCATCTCAACGATTCTATCGTGGACTTTGATGAGATGAAAGAGACTTATACGTACCTCATCACCGAACTTGTCAAAAGAAAGGTCGGGATTATTAACCTTGGCCGTCGTGGTGCCGAAACATCCCCTGGTTCAGGGGAATTCTTTGGACCTCTCTCTCGGCCTGAAGGCTATCCTCTCCCTCGTGGCTACGATCCAGTTCTTGACTTTGGGAACCTCGTCAAGTTTCCTGGTAGTCCGACTTTGCTTATGGCCAATCATGATTATACTGTTGGAGAGGCTGATGCTCTTGCTGGAGCGGGCAAACTGGACATGATTACGTTTGCGAGAGCTTTCATCCACAATCCGGTGAGTAGTCCAATGTTGACATCTTCTATTCTGACTGGTTGAAAAGGATCTTGTTCCTCGTATCATTAATGGGGTATCCCTCGCCACGAATGATAGAGGTGCTTGGGTTTATTATGGGCTGGACAATAGACCAGATGAAGGCTACAATGATTGGCCAGTAGCCTCAACCACATAGGCATCACTAGAGCAAGGAGAGACAGTCAACGGGCTTCACGACTATATCAGATAGAGACAAAGATATGAGCAATATGTGCATTGTTCCATTCAAATGAATGTGACTTGATAATATACGAGCAGATAACTATGTACAGATGAATGAGCGTCATGGATGAATCACCATGATAATCCCATTTGCAACGCAAAACTGGGTGTCCAGCATCCACGGTCGTGCAAAACCCAGAAGAAAGAAAAGCAGTGCAAGCACTTTTTCTCAATCCGCTTATTTCTTGATGGTGAGCAGACCAGGGCGGTAAGGAAGGTCGTTGTACTCGCCACCAACGTTGGGGTTGCGGCCCTGGTAGAGGAGCTGAAGGTTGCAAGGGTCTACGGGGAAGGTCTGGTCGTTGCTGGTTCGGATGAGCTCGCCGTGGCTGATGTCGTTGGTCCAGGTGGCGCCGCTGTTGGCCTTGCCGGCGAAGGGGTTGGATTCGGTACCAGCGTTGACGGTCCAGGTGCCATCGAGGCTGTTGGCGGTGAAAGAGCGGAAGTAACGGCCGTTCTTGCCCTTGGCCTCGACGATCATGAGGTACTTGTTGAGTCCCTGGAGGGAGTAGACCTGCACGGCCTCGAAGAGGTTGTCCTCAGTGTCCTGGAGGATGATCTGGGAGCTGCTGCCGAAGCTGCCAGGGAAGTTGCCGATGGGCATGCTGGAGCGGTAGATGCGGCCGTTGTCGCCGGCGAAGAACAGGTACATGTTCTTGCTGTCACCAATGACAGTTTGGTCGATAGGACCGAAGGGGGCGTTGGCAATCTCGCCGGTGAAGAGAGGCTGAGCAGCAGACCAGCCGTTGGGGTTGGTAGGGTTGCTGGAGGTCCTGTAGGAGAACTTGGTAGGACCCCACTGGTGGGCGAGGATCCAGATGTTCTTGGGCTTGAAGAAGAACAGAGTAGGGGCGACAGCGGTAGAGCTCATGCCGGTCTGTGTGGCGGAACCGAGCTGGTTGAGGTTGGAGACGGGGCTGAAGGCCATAGATCCCCAGCTAGTGCCGAAGACGGTGGCGTAGACGAGCTGGCCGCCGTTGTAGGGAGCGACAGTGAAGTCCTTGAGAGACTTCCAGCCGTTCTTTGGCTGGGCAAGGGCACCGCTTGAGGTCCATTTGTAGGAGGTGGGGAGCTGGCACTGAGCTGCGACATCGCCGACAGAGGCGAGGAGCAGCAGACCGCTGGAGAGCAGGCTGAGATCGTACTTCATGGTGATATCGGGTTGAGGAGATGAGGAGAGGTGGAGGTTGTGATGATACAAGAGAAGAAAAGACTGATCGACGAGGAGGAAGTCAGTATGTTATATATGAAATAGTAGATGGACTATGCATGGCGAGATGGCCCTTAATTTATATGGGCATCATTCGTTGCTGGGGAATGATCGAGCTGGCATTGGAGGAGAAAATATCGTGTATCCACTGGGATACAACAATACAACCCAGTCTTGTTCCAGATCATCCGAACAATGACCCAAAACAAGGATCGATCGAGGGCCGCTAAACGAGTCTGAACGAGCATGCTTCCTTTTGGAACCACGGAGACGGATCCGAGTGTTTCTGCTTTGGGGTTAGCTCGATCGGGGCCCAGGTACACTTGGCTTACGCTAATTTAACCAGAGGAGAAAAGTACCTGACCTCCTTTACCAGTTGCGAGTCAGTCAGCTCTACCGTGCGTGCGTGCGTTTGCCTGAAGCTGAAGCAGTGACGAATACATGCACCACGTATGGACATCTATATGGAGAGTATAAACTTTCTTGTTTGGGTCCTGCAGGAAACGGTCGGCACGGCATGTTTCTCGGCTTCATCTAGAAAATCGATTTGCCAAGCTGAATCATAGTGGGTTTCATCTTGGCAGGCCTGGTTTCAGCCTCCACTTTGTCATCTCATTGGGGCCCTCCCGCGGGATACGAGAAGGCCAGCGCCAGGCGTGACCACCACATGATGTCCGTTCCCAAATGGACTGATGCAGCCATTACTATGAACAGTCTAGTTTACGATGCCATGTGCTGTGTATGCACCCCAGGAAAGAATGAGCAGGATATTGGCGCACCTATAGAATTGCACCGTTCATCGGTAAATCTAGTCAACACCCCAGATTCGTCCCTGAAAGCAAAAACAACCCCGGCACGGCAAAGGACCTCATTAGGCTAAAACCCATCGCGGTCAGCGATTGTCATATATTACTAGCGTGCCAGTAGAATTTAACTACTGATATCTTGTTTCACACGCAGCGTGTTATTCCGCCTATCAGACCCAACCTGGCATTTGACGGTGAACTTTGACTTGTATTTTAGCCAGATTTGGTGTAAGCGGGCGAATTAAACTATCGCGAGATGCATAGGAAATAGGGAATAGCAACTACAGAATGCGGGGGATGGAAATGCGGAGTGCATATAACCGTGTAAGTCTAGATATCACGAAGTTCAAGTGTTTGAGTATGGGGATTTTGTTGGCGGTGAGTGAGTGAGTGAGGGTGAGGGGGATTGAGCAAGATGGCTTCGAATAAGGCTGAATGTTTTTCCACGGAACTCGGCTTCTTTCATGTTTGATGTTGAATATCAAGGCGAGAACAAAGTGGGTTTGTCATAGCGTAATAGACGTCCCCTTGAAACGCCAAGTAATATCCGTTTCCTAGATGCGATAAGTTAGGACGATCAAAAGGGGGAATGGAAGCGAGGCATGGTGCTACATTTTGATAAGATAAGACCATGAGGTCATTGAAGCTCACCCTATACTCGAAAATATAGTAAATATTTAACAATTAGCACATAGTAATAGCATAACCTTAATTCTAACAGAGAGTCTATTTTATTTAGCTAGGAAATAACATAATTTTAAGTATTTTATAGTTCAAGAAGAGTAGATTAACTTTCTATTAAGTCTTAAAACTGTATTTACAGTTTAATTTAAAGCATTCACTCTAAACAGTTAAAACAATTAAAGTGACTATTTATCGCTCTAATACTCAACTCTATAGTTTGAAAATGCTGTATTTCTACGATATATATCTTAACATACATCTATTCTAAGTAGTCTATGCATTTGGCGTGTGATCCTTCACCCAGTTCTCCTTTTCTATCCGCAGCGACCTCTGCCCCCATTTAATAGTCATCCACGCTC